CTTATACCTACCGTGTGCCTAAAAATTTTAACTCTTTTATCAGGACTTGCAGGACTGAACTTTCTCAACCTCAACTTAATTACTTATACCTGCCGTGTGCCTAAAAATGTTAACTCTTTTTTTAACGGTTTAAAAAACCGAACTTTTCTGTGCATTTCATTCCTACCCATTTCAGGCGTTGAATTTTTTTTACTTGTGCCTGACATTTGTTTCGCTTCACTTCACCGGACAAGTGTTTGCCTTAATGGGCTCTTTTTTTATATTTTGATTTTTTCTCCTTTTGTTTTTTTTTATTTCAGTTACCGATATTTCTATATTTTTTCCGTACCAATTTCAATACTAAATTTTTCATACATCACCCAGTTTTATTTCAGATTCTGTTTTAGTTCACGTTCTATATTTTTTACTTCACCGTTAGTTTCAGATTTTATTGCTTATTTGCTTTTTTTTACTTAACAGTTTAAACACAACACTTTTCTATATTTGTCATTTATACCTAGTTCAGGTCTAAAATTATTACCTCTTTTCACCTTACGGTTTAGAAACCGATTTTTATATATTTCAGCACTTTATGAGCAAACGTTATTTGCTGCTCGAATTTACAAGAAAAAGGTAAATTATTTAGAGAATGGATAAAGTTCAACAAAATTAACAACAAATTCTAACCTATATTTTTTATTATAGAGGTTAAATAACCTATATTTCTGTTGCCAGCATGTGCAAAAAAAAATATCTGGAGTTCTTTTGATTAAAGGTATGTAATACTATATAAAAAATAATGAAGGCAATTATTTTGCAATCAGCCTGATATTTCTTATTTTCTTTACAGGGCTTGATAGAATAGAGAGAATGTATACATTTTTTAAAATTAACAACAAGTTTAAATTTATATTTTTTCATTATATGGAGGGATTTTCTGTTGCTAGCAAAGGACAAAAGGCCAAAAGGGAAAAATATCTGGAGTTCTTTTGAACAGAGGTATGTAATAGATAGTATATAAAAATTAATTAAGTCAATCACTCTTGAAATCAGTCTAATATTTCTTATTTTCTCCACAGGGCTCACGCGGTTCCGAGCTCAAAAGGTAGGATTTTTTTTTCTTCAACATGTGAGACATATTTTATTTGTTCATTATGTGCATACAATGTTTTATTATTCTTCAGATACACCTTTGATCTCTTTATATGCTATGCAATTGTTTTTTCTATGTATATTCGTGTATTATATATTCGCGTGTATTATATATTCGTGTATTATATTCGTTAGGCATAAAGTATTCGTTTATTATAAACAAAGTTAGGAAATTTTTCATTTAACCTTTGTTTCCATTTATATTAAACTTTTCTTTATTCGTGGTATACCTGTGGCCAATAAGTGTGGTATATGTGGCGGATTAGTGATATTGGTGGACAGAGGTAGCTGACTGTCCTCCAAGACTCACTTTTCCTAATATTATTTAGGCAATATTTGTGAATTGAGTATTTGAGTTGATAGCCCTTATACCTTTATACCCTTATACCTTTATACCCTTTTCCTTTTCCTTCCCTCCCTCTCGACGGGTTGTCACCTTAACGTGGTGAGAGGGTCTGACTTGCCAAAAGTCACCAAGAACAACCCACAGAACTTACTTAATATCAACCTTTTTAAATATTTCTTGGTTTTATTTTCTATTCAGAAATTTTACACTTCAAATATTCAAGAAGATTTTGTTGATATTAACTTCCCTAAACCCTAAACTTCCCTAAACTTCACTAAAATTGTTGGGTAGTTATAGTAATGGGTCGAAAATCGATAATGAAAATTTTTGCATTTCTCGACGTTTTGAAGGTTTCTGAACATTTTGGCATACCTCAGAAAAAATGGACGTGTGTGTGTGTGTATTTTGTATGTTCGCATTTTTTCGTCCACGTTTTCGGGCGCACGGACCAACCGATTTGAATGGTTTAAAAAACATTTGATTCCTATTAATAGGGAGATGTGCTAATTAGTTTTTGGCAAAAGCAGGTCCAGCCGTTACGGAGATATGGAGCAAAGAGTGCAGAAAATAGAAATCGAGTTTTTGAGAGAACGGATCATCCGATTTGTATGATCCAATAAACATTCAGTTCGTAATGACTGGGAAAAGTGGTTATTAGTTTTTGGCAAAGGTAGTCCCGGTTTCGGAGATATAGAGCTAAATGTTAAAAAAATGGCAGTTTTTGAGAGAACTAAGGGTCCGATTTAGATGATTCAAAGATTTTTCTGTTTGTTTCAACGTTTCAAATAATTGCTTTTGGAAAAGAAAATTTTTGTTTCTAATTTTTTTTTTCAAAACATATTTTTGTAGTTTTGAATTAAAAATTCAAAAAATGACCCAGGCTAAGTACAGTCTAAGCGCCACACCGGTACAAATGTTTACCCAGGTGCGTTTAGACTTAGTGCAGTAAACGGAGAGGAAAAAAGGGTATAACCTCTGAATTTTTTTACTGTGCTCCGAATTGAATGAAATTTTGGAATTATGTTCATCTTACCCTCAAGTTCAAAAGTGAAAATAATTCGGGTTGCGCCATCATCCCCCGGGGGAATGACAACCCTTTTCAATTGTGTAATTACATTTTTTCAAAATAACGTCGGAAATCGATAGAAGAACTAATTATAAGAAAAAAATGTCTTCTATAGTTTTTCAAAAAAACTAATACTTTTCAAGTTACTGGCCACTAAAGATTCATATATTTTTGGCATTTTCCTTCGTTTTTTTGCAAATATCTCCTAAAATATACATTTTAACGAAAATCATGTAATGAACAAAATAATGTCAATAAAAATCTTAATAAATCGGTATTACATAAAGTGTTCTAGAAAAAATATTAAGCAAGATTTGAAAGAGCAAAGTCGTTTTTTATTTCGTTCAAGATTTAATTGTTGTATTTAAAGCCATCTAGTGTCGAGGTTTTACATTTTATGCATTTCGGTGAAATTGGGTTTTATAGTGCTCAACATAAGCTTTAAAATGAGTGCTGTTACAAGTTTTTTGCGTGTAAAATAAGTGAGCTATCATGCAAATAAGAAGCATATACGAAGTTTTTTCTTTTAAATCATATGGTTTAATGAGCGCCATTTCCACCAGAAATAAAATAATTCACATTCCATCTAGAATTCACTTCATTATAGACATCTTGAAGGATTCTAGCAGATTCACTACTTTAGTACAAACTATTTTCAGAAAACTCACGATTTTATAAAAACTTTTTTTTCCAATTTGCGCGGCCGCGCAGTCTTTAAACATTCATAACTCTGTCAATTTTTGTGTGTAAGAAAAATAATAAAAAACAAAAATAGGCCAGAAAGATCCTTTTGACTTTTATCTATATGCTTTTATACGTATCTTTTATTCTTTTTGAGATATAATGAAAATAATTTCGATTTTTAAAAAAATCGTAAAAAAAAGTTTCTATAAAATCGTGGGTTTTCTGAAAATAGTTTGTACTAAAGTAGTGAATCTGCTAGAATCCATCAAGATGTCTATAATAAAGTGTTCTAGATGGAATGTGAATTATTTTATTTCTGGTGGAAATGGCGCTCATTAAACCATATGATTTAAAAGAAAAAACTTCGTATATGCTTCTTATTTGCATGATAGCTCACTTATTTTACACGCAAAAAACTTGTAACAGCACTCATTTTAAAGCTTATGTTGAGCACTATAAAACCCAATTTCACCGAAATGCATAAAATGTAAAACCTCGACACTAGATGGCTTTAAATACAACAATTAAATCTTGAACGAAATAAAAAACGACTTTGCTCTTTCAAATCTTGCTTAATATTTTTTCTAGAACACTTTATGTAATACCGATTTATTAAGATTTTTATTGACATTATTTTGTTCATTACATGATTTTCGTTAAAATGTATATTTTAGGAGATATTTGCAAAAAAACGAAGGAAAATGCCAAAAATATATGAATCTTTAGTGGCCAGTAACTTGAAAAGTATTAGTTTTTTTGAAAAACTATAGAAGACATTTTTTTCTTATAATTAGTTCTTCTATCGATTTCCGACGTTATTTTGAAAAAATGTAATTACACAATTGAAAAGGGTTGTCATTCCCCCGGGGGATGATGGCGCAACCCGAATTATTTTCACTTTTGAACTTGAGGGTAAGATGAACATAATTCCAAAATTTCATTCAATTCGGAGCACAGTAAAAAAATTCAGACCTAAAACGCTCCGTTTACTGCACTAACTGTTTATATGTACTGGATCACTTTTCCAATTTTGTAAAAACTATTGAAAAATGTGAAAATGCCGCTAAGCTAAGCACAGTATAAGTGAAAATGTCGCACAGAATTTTTTGCAAATGCGTTTAGACTGTGACTATACGGAAGCACTTTTTCAATTTTGTATAAATTAGGCAGCTTTCAAATTTTTTTGAAATTGAATTCGAAATAAAATGACGATTGTTAATGTTCTGGAGATAAATTGATTGATTTATGATTTACTTTTGGTTTGTTCAGATATAACAAGATAGCAAGAATAATGAATGTTACAGTATTTGTAATAATATATTTAAAAACGTTTAAAATTTCTCGAATATTTCATTACGATACGGGAAGTTCCAGCAAATTGCCTTTAGGCACGATGCCATACACCGCTAGTTCAATTTTTGAACCATTCAAATCGGTCGATCCGTGCGCTCGAAAACGTGCACCAAAAATTATATCCACACACGCACACACACACACATCAGAAATCTCTGAAACGTTAAGATACGTAAATAAATTCAGTTTCGATTTTTGGACAATTACAATAACTTACTCTACGGAAAATTAAAAGGTCTATGAACAGGCACGTAGCTACATCTCTCATCCGCCGTTAAGTGGTATTTTTAAAAATAAAACGATACCACCAATACCAGGACGTTTTGTTTTGTTTAAACGAACGATACGATAAATGAAAAGAGAAAGAACCATCGACATGTTTATAAATAACCACACACACACTATTATCGTGCAAAATATCATTATCATATCATACCAGTCGGAGAAGAAACACACATTGGAGCATTGGGTAACCGTACAGAAAGACAGATTATTTCATATTTTTGGGTTAAAATAATAGTAGTATTATTGTGTTTATTGCTTAAATATAATTGAAAGCTTAGTTTTGTTATTAGAGGTGCTGTAAGAGTGTTTTGTGACGTCAACGTGGCTATTAAATAGGTATTTGTTTTGCTTGACCACACCGGCCGGAATTCCTTGGGAACAAGTAAGTTAGAAGTCACGCACCTGAATATATGTATAAATACATACATACATATATATATATATATATATTATATATATATATATAGAATTTTATGATATGAGTGGAACGAATATTAATTGTTTAATATGAACAAAACAGCTTAGAAAAGAGACTCAGGCAACATGAATTACAATGTGAGAAAATAGATAACAAAAAATTTAAAAGTACACTTGTGGATCATGCTAATATCAACAACCATAAGTTTGATTTTGACAATCCCCAAATTTTGAGCATGGCAGAATCAATGTTAATAGTTCGGACTAACAATAGCATAAATCTAAGAACCGACACAAATATTTTACATGACACTTTATATAACATCATTAATAATTTATAAATTTTTTCATTTATCTTATTCTTCTCAATAAATTAATTTGTTTTTTTCATTTTTATAAATCGATTTTTGTATGCGATAGCACTCCTTTTGTTTACATTATAATGATACCCTCTCTGTCTCCATCTATATAAGTACTTCAAATTTGTTTAGATATTTCTGTAAGTGTTATATGTTTCTTTGGTACTGTTCAAGCATTGCAAGGAATAGTTGGTGTTTTTTTTGTATATCAAAAATTAAATGAAATTTAATAAATTATTAAAGGATGTGTAGTATATAAGTAACTGTTTTTGAAATTACACTGAAGATGAGACACACCATGGTCTCGAAACGTCTGTAATCATAAAATAAAGTTGTGTTAAACAAATCTGAGTGCTGTTTTGTTCATATTAAACAATTAATATATATATATATATAATATATATATATATAATATGACATAAAATCTTCAGAGCAATGCATCAACAAAAATTGTATAAATTATTTTCCATACTTTCCAAATTGTATAAATTAATTGGAACTGGAATGTTTTTAATGATTTCAATTCACAATAACACTACCATTGCCGATTGTATGATCCAAAAAACATCCAGTTCGTAATGAAGGAAAAAGTGGTTATTAGTTTTTGGCAAAGGTAGGCCCAGCGGTTTCAAAAATACAGAGCTAAATGTTGAAAAAAAATGGCAGTTTTTGAGAGAACTAAGCGTCCAATTTAAATGATTCAAAGAACTTTCTGCTTGTTTCAACAAAATAATTGCTTTTGGAAAAAAAAATTTGTTTCTAATTTTTTTTTTCAAAAAATATTTTTGTAATTTTGGATTAAAAATTCAATAGACACAGACTGGAGCACTTTTCCAATTTTGTGAAAACTATTGAAAAATGTGAAAATGCCGCCAAGCTAAGCACAGTATAAGAGAAAATGTCGCACAGAATTATTTGCAAATGCGTTTAGACTGTGACTACACAGGAGCACTTTCTCAATTTTGTACAAATTAGATTAGGCAACTATTTTTTTTGGAATTGAATTCGAAATGAAATGACGATTGTTGTTAATGTTCTGAAGATAAATTGATTTATGATTTATGATTCACATTTGATTTGCTCAATATTTGTACAGTATTTGTAATAATATATTTGAAAACGTTTAAAATTTCTCGAATATTTCATTACGGGTTACGGGAAGTTCCAGCAATTTGCCTTAAGGCACGATGCCATACCCCACTAGTTTTTGTTTGAATTATCATCAGTGCCAATGCATATGAACAATGTAAAAGAAAACTCAATAACAATTAACATTTTATAATTTTATATGACATAGTAAATGACTGAAATATTTTTAAAATGGTATTTTAAGTTTTTTTGCAAAAGCACATTTTAATAAATAATTATGTATTTTGAATAATACATGTTGTTTTATATTTAATTCAATGGTCTTCGTCGAACTCTTGTTATTGAATTCCAATTAGAAATCCAAGGCGGAATGTAAACAGAAATCAACAGCAATTATACATATATAAATCCATGTGGACTGTTTAACGAAATATTTATTCGTCATGCATCAAAATTAATTTTGCATCAAAATATTTATTTGATTTGAAAATTTTGATTTTATTGCACAACAGTAATGAATTGATTTTGATTACAAAAATGAAGTGTTTTTCAGTTGAACTTCTCTAAGTAAATGAAAGTAAATCCGCAAATTATCCGTTTCATGGAAGTGGTCTTTGGTAAACCACATTTTTTGTTTTTTGGTCTGACGTTAACACAAACAAAGCGGATGGCTTTCCAACTCGTGAACAGGCAACGTATAACTGCCCATGTGAAAAACAATGATTTTCTAAATTTTTCCCGCAAACACTGGAATGCAAGGCGAACTGGAAATTGCAATCGTTTGAAGTCAAACGAAAGACCAGTCGGAATCATTGGTATGTCACCAAATCGTCAGAAATTTTTGATTGAATGGTGAAATTCAGTGCGTGCACCTCATTATTCTTTGCGTCAAGAATTGCTCGTTGACTTAATTGCAAGCATAATTCTGATAATTCTCACTAATGTCATTACTCGAATTTTTAATTACGGTGCGTGAAGTTCCAGCAGCTTGCATTAAGGCACGATGCCATGTACAACTAATTTTCTTAGCTATAAACCTTGCGGAGCCCGACACTTTTCCAACGAATGCAAAATTGTCGAAATCGGTTCGTGCGTTCTGGAGTTATTTCGTCAGGAAGGAAAACCCGACTTATTTATATATATATATGTAGATAAATTGCCATCAATGCTACAAGTCTCCTTTCTCAGATGGCGCAAGAATTTACTTAATAATAAATATACAAAACACTTTTAATTGAATTGCGGACTATCTAAATGTCAATATTAAGAGCTAAAACTTTTAGAGGATGTTTTTTTATCAATTTGGAAGCGTTTGAGCCCTTGGGGACATAGAAATTCGAAAATGTCCGTATTAAGGGTCATCCTAATATATATATATATATATATATATATATATATATATATATATATATATATATATATATATATATATATATATATTCCATTTATTAAATTTTCATTTATCCTTTAGTGTTGAAAACATTCGCCCGCCAATTTTCAAATCTGGCCGTGTACAATTGGCGTCGCCCGGAATCAGTACAATTTCCGACGATATGGAGCCAATTCGAACGCAAGGACAAAAAGGATAACAAATTGAGGAAGTTCAGAATAACCGACGTCAGCGACAAGGATAAAGGACTGCAGAATGCCCTGGTTAAGCACATGTGCGATTTCTATTTGAAAGACGAACCACTCTTCTTGGCAATGAGTAAGGGGATAAATGATATATACATACATACATACATACATATATATATGTATATATATATATATATATATATATATATATATATACGATATTAGGGTAGTCCTTAACAAAAACATTTTCGAATTTCTTTGCTCCCACGGGCGCAAAAGCTTCCAAATCAATAAAAAATGATTCTCTAATAGTATTATCTCTTTATATAAACATTTAGATAGAGCGCACAATAATTTTTATATACAGTAAGTTTCATATATTTATTTCTAAAATGTCACATGAAGTAAATTCGTGCGCCATCTGTCGCGTCACTCAAATATTATGATGCATAAGAATATTTATAAACCCTTAAATTTATGTGGGCTGTTTTATAATATTTATTCAACATGGAATCAAGATAATAATTTGAAACTTAACATCACTAATTAAATAAATATTTTGCTGCAAAATTAATCTTGATTCCATGATGAATAGATATTTATTATTTTAGGTTTATAAATATTCTTATGTATCATATTATTTGAGTGACGCGACAGATGGCGCACGAATTAATTTAATGTCACATTTTAGAAATAAATATATGAAACTTAGTACATATAAAAATTATTGTGCGTTCTATCTAAATGTTTATATAAAGAGATAATACTATTAGAGAATCATTTTTTATTGATTTGGAAGCTTTTGCGCCCGTGAGAGCAAAGAAATTCGAAAATGTTTTTGTTAAGGACCACCTTAATATATATATATATATATATATATATATATATATATTGTATGATTCTGAATTTGATGTTGACATATGTATTAACAAAGTCTAATAATCGGGCATAACATCAATAAAAAACATGAATTTCTTTCAAAAATTTATTTTAAATCCATACGTTTCGGCTATAATCCTAGCCTTCATTCAGTGGAAACTAAAAACTAAAAACAATTGAATTTGAGTGAAAAAAAAAAGTAAATAGTACTTACAATTAGTTAATCTTAGTGTTAAATTGAAAGATTTTAATAATCCATGGTATCAGGATATGGTAATGCACTACACTATGTATTATAAACATTAAACTTGTAATTACACAATATTTTCACAAAAAAACTAGTTTAAAAAATCACAATTAGATAGGTGTTGTTCGTAGACTGGTTGAAGATATAAAGGAGAAAGGACTTTGTAAAAAATATTTTTTACCAAGATTCTACACATGTGTGGAACGAATTGCGAATACTTTGCGCGTCGTTTTTATTGTTTTGTGAGAAATTTGAAAATACTATCTAAATAAAAGAGTTTTGTGTCGCACAGCGTGTTAAGTTCATTCCGTTTATGTATTGTTTTATTGCTGTATATAGTTAAAAAAGATCCTTCTATAATTCTTCGTTTGAATAAATTTTGTTCGAATTGTAGTACAGTCGGGTTAGAAAAGTCCATATTGTGTTTTAAAGTGTAAATATGCTCTGCTATCATAGTTTTAAAATGTCTTGGATTTTTTGAATTGTTTTTATGTTGTTGTAAACGTTTCATTAAGTTATGGCTTGTTTCTCATATGTAAATTCAATTACAATCTAGACAATTAATTTGATAGACGAGATTTCTAAGCCGTTCGATATTAAAATGGGTACTAGTCGTTGTACTAAAATTGTTTACAAGTCGGAGTCCAGATTTATAAAAAAAAAGTTTTTTCCAAGGAACATACAATTCATTAATGTATGGCAAACATATTACACATATGTTCGTCTGTTACTGGTTACGGAGTTTATAAGTTTTAAGGGATAGGAGCTATCTGTTAGAATTTTCGTAATTAAATTGATGTTGTTGTCCCAAAATGTTTTGTCCGATAGAAGTTTTGCGTGGTCCGTTAGATTTATTATAGTACCTATTTTCATTTTGAATGGATGATAAGAAAAATAATTAAGGTAACGTTCAGAGTTAGTTGGTTTTTGGTTGGTAGAATCTTGGTAAAACATATTTTTTAAATTCTTTCTCCATTATATATCTTCAACCAGGCTACGAACAACACACTATCCAATTGTGATTTTTAAAATTAGTATTTTGTGAAAATATTGTGTAATTACAAGTTTAATGTTTATAATACATAGTGCAGTGCATTACCATATCCTGATACCATAGATTATTAAAATCTTCCAATTTAACACTAAGATTAACTAATTGTAAGTACTTATTTACTATTTTATTTTCACTCCAATTCAATTGTTTTAGTTTTTAATTGTATTTTTAGTTTCCACTGAATGAAGGCTAGGATTATAGCCGAAACGTATGGATTTAAAATAAATTTTTGAAAGAAATTCATGTTTTTTATTGATGTTATGCCCGATTACTAGACTTTGTTATATATATATATCTTTTACCCAGATATGAGAGAGGATGCAAAATCCGTCCAGGAGACCGAACAACTCTGGCACAATATTTTTTCCCAACGCATAGTTTTGGCTTGTCTTGAGGAAACCCAGGACGGCGGCCTGGTCAAGTCTCCTGGTACAGAAGTTCCTCGAGTAGTCGGTTGCAATTTTACATTCGTTACCAAGAAAGGACAACCAAAAATACAAGTAGGAGGATAACAGATTAATTATTAACACAGGGTGTCCCAGAACTCAACGGGGCGGTAGTAAATCAGAAAACAATACTATTCCATGTAGTTTGAAAATTATGAGCTATAATTATGAGTTTCAAAATTATGATCTATAAGTGCTTTGGTCAAACTGTGACCATTTTTCGTTTCTTGTTTATTTTTATTACTTTTGTTCATTTAAACTAAGGGCGAGCAACCTTTTTAAACGACGGGCCTATTTAAATTTTCAAATTTTATTGCGGGCCGCACGTAATTTATATACATACTAGCTGACCCGGCGAACGTTTACCTACAGAAAATATTTTTAGAAAATCATTAGTATAAATTTAAGCTTTTTTATAAACTCAGAAAAATCTTGATAGAATTTCTATTGTTCACAAAAAAGGCGATAATAGTTAATTGATCAATTAACAAGCTATATAAAAAATGATTGGACTACTAAAATGATTATTATAAATTCATGAAAATTTGGAGTTGTGTGTAGTTTTTGATTTCGCATAAAAAAAATATAATAAAGAACAAAATTTCAAAAAAATGTTATTATACAAGCCATGATAAAAATAAATTGGTTATTCTAATAAAATTGAAGCTTTTTCATAAACCCTGATAAAAGTCTGATCTAAAATTAAGTAAAAAGATTTATTGACTGAGTGCAGGAATAATGTAATTGCAACAAAATTACAAAATTGCCACAAGAAAAGAACAAAAATATAAAATTGAACAAAGTATATGTTTATATAATAAGTGATATGTTTTACTCAGTTTTGATAGGTGCTAATTTTATATGAATTTTATAGTTGACATTAACACAGGTCCACAAAAAAGAGTTGTCTGAATTGGGTGTGTGACATATGTCTTCCAATGTACCTTTTACCGCTGAAGATAAATCTATAGTCAAAATTGGCGCACAAAATATTGAAAAACGTTTAAAAACGGGCACAATCTTCGATCTAGATTTTTTTTCTGAATGAATTAATTATTATCCAGCGACTTTTCTTTTGTGGGCCTGTGTAATTGTTCACACACATACGTACTTCCACAAAAAAAAAATTGATTTGCGTTTTTTATTCAAAAGCGAAAATTTCTCAGGGCTGACATAAGATTTATAAAAAAAATCTATGTTTACTGAAAAAAATTCATTTTTTAAATCTGTATTATTCTGCATGTTAAATAGCGAAGAAAACATTTACATGAAAACAGCTGTCTTGTAAGCTTTGAACATTTGGAATCACAATTAAAATTTGTTCACATTTTCTTTTTTTGAATATGAAAGTGAAACACAAGATTCTGCAAAAGATATTATTCTTTATTACCAAAATGATGAAAGAACTATAATTATTATTTTATATCCAAAAACAATTGTAATTCGCTATTTGAGTCGTATACTCCTTGAAGCATTGCATCACTATTGAGCTAACGTACTTTAGTATTAAAAATCGATATATTCACAAACTTAATTGCCAGGATGTCTTTAAATTTGCGATAATTTAATCCTCGCGACATTATAAGATTTACTTATTTAATTATTTTAAATTTAGAAATGCATTATTGCCTTGTTCTCGTACAAGTTCTCAAGTTTTCCTGCAATATTGAAGCTTGTTTAACAATATTTAAATAAATTAATAATTATTTTATCAGGAAATGCTATTTCTTCGAACAACAGTTTTTACCAGAATTTGACTGACGACAAAATTAGCTTTTACAGCTGTATTTGATAAAATATCTAAAAAATAATCTGTTGTTGAGAAATGCTTGGCGGGCCGCAGAAAAACACTAGGCGGGCCGCGGTTTGCTCATCCTTGATTTAAACTTTGGATCCGTAACCGTGAGAACATTTGTTTCATGTTGAGTTCCGGGACACGTTCTGCATATAGTTTTATTATTTTCAAATATGTCTATTTATTACAATGAGTTTCATCCTCAGCCCGATGGAAAATGTTTCAAAATCTTCCGGGACGCCAACGACTATTTGGCCTCATTCACCGACTGCTACGCCCACTACGGCGTAGACGAGTACCTCTACGCTTTCGGTTTGAGCGTAGACCCCGATTACAGAGGAATGGGAGTGGCCATGGAAATTTTAAAGGCCAGAAACGAGATGGGCAGAAAGGTAATAATAATAATAATAATAGAGTATTTATGAAACCAATTCTTGAATCAAATAGAAATGTTATGGTAATGCTATGTTACGGGTCTATCTTCGTATGAGTTGGTAGTAACGAAGTGTCGAAGAACTATGTATTTGCTGACATACCGAAGTTCAAGTATAACACATACAAAGAGGTATCACAAAGTTGCACTTGTGATAAAATTGTTATTTGATGTTTTTGCATTTTGGAGGTTAGATTTTATGTGTAATTTTTTTTTACTTTGACAGTTCGTTACTCATATCCAGTAACACAGCATTACTATTTCAACCAAAAACAGGCCCCTAAATTTATTATATATATATATATATATATATACTAGCAAACCCGACAAACTCCGTTTCGCCACCAGATGGTTTCGTGAGAAAGATGAAGAAATTTTTTGTTTGTTTTATATTTGAAAAGAAAAAAATTGATTTTATTACACAACAGTAATGAATTTATTTCGATTACAAAAATGAAGTGGTTTTTAGTTGAACTTCTCTAAGTAAATGAAAGTGAATCCGCAAATTATCCGCTTCATTGAAGTGCTCTTTGGTAAACCACATTTTTTGTTATTTGGTCTGACGTTAACACAAACAAAGCGGATGGTTTTCCAACTCGTGAACAGGCAACGTATAACTGCCCATGTGAAAAACAATGATTTTCTAAATAATATATTTGAAATTTATCTCGCAAACACTAAGCTATTGGCCTTGCGACTTGTTATTGCAAACGCAAGGCGAACTGGAAATTGCAATCGTTTGAAGTCAAACGGAAGACCAGTCGGAATCATTGGTATGTCACCAAATCGCCAGCAATTTTTGATTGAATGGTGAAATTTAGTGCGTGTACATCATTATTGTTTGCTGCAAGAATTGCTCGTTGACTTAACCAAGCATAATTCTGATAATTCTCACTAATGTCATTACTCGAATTTTTATGATGTTTTTATTTTTTCGACTTGTGGCTGAAAAACCATATCATAATATATATATATATATATATATATATATATATATATATATTTGGACATTTTCGAATTTCCTTGCTCTCAAGGGCTGAAATGGTTCGAAATTAATAAAAAAATAAATCTATCAAAGTTTTAGCTCTTAATATTAAAGTTTAGATAGGGCGCAGTTCAATCAAACTTCGTATGGAAATAGCATTTTTTTTTTAAATAACAATAAAAAAAATTTTCATTTGTTCGCTAAATTACATCTAAAAACATGTTTAAAATTTTTGAAAAATTTTTCATGCCATTTGCATACAAAACTTTGATTAAATTGCGCTCTATCTAAAGGTTAATATTAAGAGCTAAAACTTTCAGAGAATTGTTTTTCATCAATTTGGAACCATTTGAGCACTTGGGAGCAAGAAAATTCGAAAATGTCCATATTAAGGACCACCCTAATGTATATATATATATATATATATATATATATATATATATATATATATATATATATATATATATATATATATATATATATATATATATTATATCACTATGCTATTTTTTCCGCAGGTTGGTTTAAAGGCAACAGTGACCACTTTCACAGCCCTAGAGTCTCAAAAATTGGCAGAAAAGGCTGGTTATGAAACCCTGGTGGAAAAATCCTACGAGCAAATGGAAAAAGACAATCCTCTGTTTAAGTTTCCAGGAATTCAGACTAAAACTGCAAAACTGATGGGAATGAAATTGTAACTGGAGAAAGGAAGAAAATGTTGAATATATATATATATAAGACTGCACTCGATGTATAAGGATACATTGTAAATGTTTGTATTAATTTGATATAAATATATTTTTACAATTATAAAGGTGTTATTTTTATAAGTATGAAAATTTTGTGTCATGATTAGGGTTTATACAAAAACCGACATTTCAAAAAACCGGTTGTCGAATTTTAATTTTACTAAAAACCGGTTATAACCGTTTTTCGAATTTTATATAGAAAATAAATTTTTGCTCGAATATTCTGTAATTTATCCGCAAATTTAGTGTAATTTAAAGCAGTATTTGACTGAATTTATTTATTGTTCAATTTTATAGATAGTAAACAAAATTATTTTAATTTTAATTAGTAGAACTAAAAAATATTAGTTTGTCTTGAATAAATAACTTTAAAAATAATTATTCGTTATTCATGCACCATTTTTACATATGAGAATGAAAATATTTTTATGATAGTGAAAGAAAAGTTTACGAATAAATAAAAATAATACATTAATAAATGACAAAAATTCATTAAATAAAAAAAATAAAAAAATATTAGATACATGCCGATACATACTTGTTAATATCAATTTTAGTTTTAAAAACAATTAAGCTAAACTCGCGTATTGTCTGTTCCGAGCAATTTTATTTAATTAATTTTGAACATTCTAATTGTTTTTTGTTTAATAAAATATGATTTAAAAAAACTGAGAACATCTATCGAATTGCTACTTAGACGTGTCCTCTGTTTACTCACAAAATTTCCTGAAATAAAAAATATTTTCATACTTGCGACCAAATTATGCTTAATTGTTTTTAAAACCTGATATAATAATTCAAAGATTTTGTTCTTTAATTTGTGGCTTCTAGGGTTTAAATCTCTTTTTTAGTTTGAGTAAAGGAAGTTACTTCGTCAAGAAGAAGTCAAACTGATTTAAATTAATATATACTCTGGTATAAAAATCTAAATTATTATATACATAAACATTTTTGGGAACCATTGCAGACTGATAAGATATCCAATGCTATTGAACCGATGTGATTTCATCTATCTTTTTTATATTTGGCTATATTTGTCATTTTCCATTTATACAGTGAAACCGAGTTTTTTCACTAAAAAACCGGTTTTCGAATTCCATAATTTTCGCCGAAAAAAACGGTTTTTAAAACCGGTTTTTGAAAACTGACAAACCCTAATGTTTGCTATAAATTTTGGAACTTTATAACATTGTCCAACTTAGAATGCAGAATAGTTATTATCTTAATTATTAAACGCAACATTTACTTTTGCAAAATTAATATTTATTATACCACACATTCATTGGTTATTTCTATAAATTAATAAAAGATGGCAGTTTTCCATCTAAGTAAGTATTTTTTTTTGTAATTCTATATTTTGTTTACAAACATTAGAAAATAATTTCCAATTCCAATTTTTAGAAAATATTATTTTGAATGTACCAAAAATTAGTAAAGAATGTACTTTTAATTTCTGAGCCATAGCAACGCGTGGCAGGGTCAGCTAGTATATATATATATATATATATATATATATATATATATATATTATGATGATAGCAATTCCAGGGCAAAACAAATCTATAATCCACTTAATACTCCATCAAAAAATCCCACCATATATTATATCATCATTTTCTCGTATAGTTCGCAAATATTATATAATATACAGGGTCGAAATAGAAGAAGAAACTAATTGTAAGTGGAATTTTGTATTAAGGTAAGTTGCATGAATTCTCCGTTAAAACGACTTGAGAAATAAGATTTAAGATTTAGCTTTTTTTAACTTTATATTTCGAAAATAACCTTTATTTTGCTTCCATTAAGAGAAATTAATGGATCTTCAATTTGATATATTTTAAGAGATTAATATTTGAAATAATTTAATTTTAAATTAAGTACAGAATAATGTTAAAATATTTTCTTCATTTTTTGTTATAAATCAATTTTTTTTTAAATAATTTTATATTTGTATATAGTTTATTCTTGGAAAAAAAGCCTATCTTGATGATAAAACACAACTAGTTTTAAAATGTTTATAATAAAAAAAAAAAATTATATGAAAACTACATTGAAAAATTGCACTCAATAATAACAGAGATAAATATTATAAATAAATTAACGTGTTTAAATTACAAATAAAAAATAAATTTGTTATAAGAAAATGACAAAATATTATTTTTATGTTTTAACTTTATAATTTAAATAAATATTATTTTTATGGTTTAACTTTATAATTTAAATAAATATTATTTTTATGGTTTAACTTTATAATTTGTATAAGTAATGAAATAACGTTATATGAAACCGTAGTTTAAAAACAATATTGCATATAATTCTTTACAGAATTTTTTTAAATTTATTTTAATAAAATATACTAATTTTAAAAATTACAAAGAGCAATTTGTTTTGTTTATAAAATATTGGATCATCATATATTTTAATTATTTAAAACTATAAATAATAAATTTAAGAAAATATTATTTTGAATTTGAATCCAGTACTGATAATTTCTTAGGAAGTAATTAGAATGTTTTGTTCATACTATTTGTGTTTTGAAAACAAAGAGTGATTAATTGGAATTTTGTATATATATATATATATATATATATATCAACAATATTTAAATATATTCGAGTTAATCACACGTGGAGTTTGTACTTATTTAGTTGTTGTAAGTTCAAGGTTGACCTGTTGAATAAAAAATTTATTTAAATTAAAAAGACGACTTGGAAACATTACAACACATTGTCGATAGATCAATTGAATTATTTATCGATATATATATATATATATATATATATATATATATATAATTATAATCTAGTTGTACTCCTCCACCAGGATTTTTGTCTAGAGCAAAGCGCATATAATGATATTATTTTTAATCTTTTTAAGGAAAAATATTAAAAGTTGCACCAAATTGTACTTAATACACTCTATATACTGCTCAATAATAAATTGTTTTACGATAAAACAATAATAATTAATTTATTCATATTTTTAAACCCATCTTGCTCGCAAAAAACACATTATTAACCCAACTGACAGATTTGTATACTATTATTTAATTTTTCGTCTAGATTTCATAAAAAAACAAACAAACCATTTAATGAATTATTAAATTTTGTTTTTTAAAAATTTTGATGAAGCTTGATTATATATATAATAGTAATATATAATAGTCTTAACGAATATAGACCACTTTTTATAGAACTATGATATACGTTATGACTATTAATACTATTTTCATCAAAATTGCCAAAAAATCAACAATTAATTGCGAACAACCGGTCCAGATGAGCTTTATCAATTCAAGTCAAAAAATAAGCATCTGTTCTCACACACACACACATACTTTTTCCTTAAATTTGGTCTCATTCGATTCAGAATGGCTTGAAACGTCGAGAAAACATAAAATTAACGAATCGGATTTTTTTATGAAAACATAAACTTCTCCTTCGGGAAGTTAAATATATTAATGTTCTGTCTATAAATATTTAATTATCGTCCCAGTTCGACCCTGTTCGGCGCCTTTGTCCTTTTATCCGAGTAGATTTCATATTTCAAAGGAAACGAATAGAAAAAATAAGATTAAATGGAATGAAGGAAAAGACGCTCTTCTTTCTATTACGACGAAGACGAATAAAAGACGTCTCTATTATAAATAAATATATATACGTATTTTCTTATAAGGACAGGAGTTAACAACATTTATTCTAATAAAATAAAAAGTACTCTGTAGAAGTAGCCATACATGATATGTGTGTTAAAAAATAGTGTTTTTCCAGAAATTTTTTTTTTTTTTTGCTTCGGTACACTTTTGACTGAATTATCTAATAAAGTAGTATCGTGGCAATTAACGTGTTTGTATCAACTAGAAATAAAAAGTTTTTATTTTGCCTGAGGGCAAGATAATAATTTACTCAATCATTTAGAATTAAGATTTCACAACTTTACAAACTTTGCTTACAAACAACCCAATATCCGATACATTAATGTTTTTAAACCTTCTCATAGGCCTATAATATTTCAAGATTTTTGTCAATAAAGTACTTTTAATATAATATTTTAAGATTTTTGTTTAGTTCATTTATTCAACAATTACAAAGAAAACACGGCCAAAGAACAATTACATAAAATTCTTATAATTTAATAAAGAAAGAAGAAAGAAAACCTATCGATTCTAGTATTTCAAGAGTCATTTCACCCATATACTCATATATGATATTTATAGATAAAATCTTTTTTAATTCGAAAAGTTGTTCAAAAACCTACCAATTTTAAAACTTTATCTTAGAATAGACACTTTGAAGTATAACATATCTGAATTACAAGGTTATAGTGCAAACGATGCGTCCTGAAGAGCTCTTTGAAAACATCAATCCACTGAGTTTCATTGCACCCCATGTGATCATACATGACATTCGTAGTTAAAATATTTTTTAAGTCGAAAAGTTGTTAAATAACCTATCGATTTTATTATTTGGTCTTATAATAGACACTTTGAAGAATAACATGTATAAATTACAAGGTTGTAGTAAAACAGTGCGCCCTGAAGAGCTTTTTGAAAATAATAATCTTCAGAGAGCCATATCACCCATATATGACATTGATAAGTGAAATATTTTTTAAGTCAAAAAGTTGTTCCAAAATCTATCGATTTTAGTATTCGTTGTCATAATAGACACTTTGAAAAATAACATGTGTAAATTACAAGGTTGTAGTACAAACGGTGCGTCCTGAAGAGCTCTTTGAAAATACTAAACCACTGAGAGTCATTTAACCCATATATAACATTCGTAGGTAAAATATTTTTTAATTTAAAATATTGTTAGAAAACCTATCGGATTTAGTATTTGTTGTCATAATAGACACTTTGTATAATGACATATTCGAATTACAAGGTCGTAGTACAAGCGGTGCCTCCTGTAGAGCTCTTTGAAAATAGTAGTCTTCGGAGAATCATTTTCATTCAGAATCATGTATGACATTCAGAGGTTAAATATTTTTTAATTCAAAAAGTTGTTAGAAAAATTATCTATTTTATTATTTGCTGTCATAATAGACACTTTGAAGAATAATATATGTAAATTACAGGGTTGTAGTACAAACGGTACGTCCTGTAGAGCTCTTTAAAGATACTAATCTTACGAGAGTCATTTCACCCATGATCACCCTTTACATTCACAGTTTTTATTACTAAGAAAGAAGCAGAAGACAGCGTTGCCATAACTACGCAAAATTGTCCCCAAAATCTTCAAAATCGATTCAGAATTTTTGCGAAAATATGGATAATTTTTTTAGCACCTAGCTACTAATTATGAAGAAGAGGCTCTGCTGATCGTTTCGCAAAACTGATGACCGCGAGTTCTTTGAACTTGCACGTGGAAAGAACCACTCTTTTTAAATTGAGTTTTCTTACAAAATCATTTCGACGAGTAGTAATTTGACTAAATTATTAACACATATATAATTTATTGAAATGTAATAATTTTGTAATATAAAAGGTTTTTAACACCTGTCTCCTATATATTTATAGAGGAGCAAGAATAGAGCACGACCAGTTCAAGATTTTAGTTCAGAGATCGTCGTAGCAATACGACAAATTAAATATCTTTAATAGTAATAAATAACGACCAATTTGTAAGCAATCAAATATACATATACACATACATAGACACATTTGTACTTTTCCCAACTTTTGCGTCAAACGATTCAGAATAACAAAATTACAATTTGGGGTTTATGGTGAAAAGAAAAATAAAAAATAAAAATTCTTTCAGGGAAATTTAACAAATTTGATTCGTTTTTTATATATAATTTTAAATAAATTTATGCAATTCATTTCTGTTTCATTCGATAATTTTGTAACATTATTATCTCCTTTTTAGAGATAAACATATAATCACAAAAAAATTCAGCATTGATTTCATTATATCCACTCATGAACTAATCACGAACATAATTAAAAACTGTTATTGTAAGTGATAAATTATATATATATATATATATATATATATATATACATATATATGTATATATATTTATATATATATATATATTGTAGAATACAAGTGTTGATAAGTTGTTATTTCTAATTGAAGTCCGATTAAAATTATTATTCAATGTGCAGTGTGTGATTTGTGATTTAAAATTTAAAAGGAACTTTGGATTATAAATTAAATGTAAGAATAATTATATATATATATATATATATATATATATTATATATAAACTTATTTATTTAAATTTTTTATACCGAGATATTTGAGAACATTACATGAAACAAAAATCTTCAGGAAATTACATGAAACAAAAGATTCTAGAAGTTTAAAAAATCTTTGTTTTACATCCAAAAGTTTCGAGTTTAAAATTAGTCTTCAGTTCACAAAAAAAAATTCATAAATACCTAGTCTTGTCATTTAAATAAAAACTAAAGGTGCATGGTATCGTGCCTTAAAGCAAATTGCTAAAACAAGATTAAAATTGAAAAAAAAAAGATTCAAAATTTGAAACCAAAAAATTATTTTGAAAACTTCTAAATTTTGTGAAAAAAATTGATTGAAAAATTTGACGTTTTCAAGATATATTTTGAAATTTTTGAACTTTTTCCAAAACAATTGCAATACGTTAGATGCGTAGAAACGAACTATCGAAGCGCGTGCGCGCCGCGTCGCAGTCTAACGAATAAACATTGGTACTGAACCCAAAAAATGTAAACAAAAATCATACTTATTAAAATATCTATTAAATATCATATAATTTGATGTGCATATGTCTAATGATCATTTTTGACCGCCAGATGTCATTTTTTTATTTTTGTACTAGATCCCCGAAACCGCTAGACCTGCCTTTCCTCAAAACCCATCAGTTCTTCATTTTGTCAATACAAATAAAATGTTTTTTGAATAATTCAAATCGGTTAATCTGAGGGCCTGAAATCGTTGACAAAAATTGTATCCGCGCATACATACACACACATATATATAGTATATGTGTGTGTGTATATACTATATACATACATTTTTTCTAAGTTATGCCAAAATGATCAGTAGACTTTAAAACGTAAATATATAAAAATTGCTTCAAATTAGTTTTTAAATCACAAAATAAATACAATAAATACTTAGTTAAATAAAAAAAGATAAAACAAAATTCAATTCATAATTTTGGATTTAAATCGACAAAACTAAAAAAAATTATATATATATATATATATATATATATGTATGTATATATTTTTTGAGATTTGAAAATTAATTAGAAGAATTCATCTTAAATCACAAGTCGAAATGATTGGATGTGAAAAAAAACTGCAATGTGTGTGTGTATGTATAAGCATTTAGTCAATATCAATTCGTTTCGTGATAAATGTCCAAATTCCAAACATTCCAAGATAATTTCCAAAGCAAGCCACACCATTGTTTTGTAAAAATTGTTTTTAAATACTTGAAAACGATAATAAATTTAAATAAATTTCAACAGTTCACATCAACTTGTCAACGAAACAAATTTATATAGTTTTCGCTTCACATTGAAACATATTATTATCGACAAAGTTTATTGTGCCTACAGTAATATACTAAAGGTATATTTATTAAAATTTTTATAAAACCTTATATCTCTCCAAAGTGTTATTTGTGTGGCCGATCAACTTTTCGTAATGCATCGCAAAAAATTTTTGTCAAGAACTTTCAAGTTACGAATATGAATGGAATACCCAGTGTACAAAATTACTATTATTATTCAATTTAATAATAATGAAAAGATGATTTTAAATGTAAAACTAGTGGGGTGTTGGCATCGTGCCTTAAGGCAAATTGCTGGAACTTCCCTTACCGTAACGAAATGTTCGAAGAATACTGAATGTTTTCAAATAGATTATTATAAATAAATATTGTAACATTGTCTAATATTTATAAAAATTATATAAACTGAATTGCAAAGTTGAAATTATTTGTTCAAAGTATATTAGAACTTCAGTCAAAATTAAAAATAAAATCTGAATTATTTTCGATATACAAAAAATTTTTTTCTTGAAAAAAAATATTGAAACAAAAAATTTTTTATTATTTTATAAAGACAAGCAGAAAGTTCTTTGAATCATTTAAATAGAACGCTTAGTTCTCTCAAAAACTGCCATTTTTTGCACATTTAGCTCCGTATCTTTGAAATGGCTGGGCCTGCCTTTGCCAAAAACTAATAAACACATCTCCCAATCATTACTAATTGAATGTTTTTTAGATCATTCAAATCGGATGCTCCGTTCTCTCAAAAAGTCGATTTCTATTTTCTGCACTCTTTGTTCCGTATATTCGAAACGGCTGAAACTGCCTTTGCCAAGAACTAATCAGTTCTTTTCCCTATCAATATGAATCGAACGTTTTTTAAACCATTCAAATCGGTTGATCCGTGCGCCCGAAAACGTGACTGGAAATTTGAATCCATACATACACACACACACATCCATTTTTTCTGAGGTATGCCAGTAAAATGTTCAGAAACCTTCAAAACGTCGAGAAATGTAAAAATTTTCAATTTCGATTTTTTGGCCCATTACAATAACTTACCCTACGGGAAGTTAATAAAAGATCTATCGGTTGTTTATATTTTTTGAAACAACAGTTTTTACTTTTTAAGATTTTCTTGCACGTATTAAAGACTTCATCCCTATGCACCTTAAGATTGTTCTCTTATCTTAACGTAAAATAAACTTAAGTTCACATAATAATTAGAATATAATTAATAATTTAGTTGGTAAACGCTTCGTAAAATATTTTTTATTAAATTTTGATAATTATGCGAACTTCATTTTTTTTTATATAAGTAAGCGTAAATACATAACTCAAAAAATAATTTTAAAAAAATTGGGGTTAATCTTAAGATTAAGATTAAGTAAGATTCTAACACTGTAAAGATTTACTTTTCATGAAATTTATAATGATTTTGTAACTGTCATGTAAGAGATGAGAGGAATTATGTTTGTTTACACGTGAAGTATTAAGAGATATAATATAAGTAAAGACTCAACTATCCTTCTAAGGTCACAATTTTTTTCAATATATAAGATGGTAGCATTTGACATGTTGAAAGTATCGGTCAAAGTTAATGATATGTTCTCATAGCATAGTTTTGAATTGATTTGGGTTTCTAGAATTATATGTATATATATATATATATATATATTATTTTTTTTCCAAGAATGTCTACTACTAACGGAAATCACAAAGAATGGCGTCGGCCAGCCTCGGTTCCGTACCCGAGCATCTGGCGTCGGTTCGAACGCCCGGACAAAAATGAACCTGGACGAATCCGGAAATTCCGGGTACAAGACGCCAGTGACAAAAACTTACAAGATGCCATCGTAAAACACATGTCCGAGATATTTTTAGAAGACGAACCGACTTGTCACTCACTCAGTAAGTGGAAATAGAAATAGGAATAGATCGATTTAAAAATCTAACAACGTCTACTTATAATTCTGATATTGCCTAGGCTCATAAATTAATTGAAATTTTTGGCAAATGACAGTTTTCATTTGTTTTCGAAGTCAAACAATGTCTCAAATATTTTCAATGTCAAACAATGACATGTCGTTTTTTGCAAGTTTTTCCATTTATTTCTACAATATTAATATATTTTTATAATCACATACATTCTGAAAAGTTCCCTTAACAAACTTCAGAAAGATTTATCAGAATCCGAACAATCGTTTAGGAGGAGCATATTTACATACATCATTACAGAATAATTTTATATATAAGATATAGAATTTTAAAAGTGAAATCAAGCAATCCAAATATTTCGAAATCTAAAAAAGAAGAAGAAAAGAAGAAATGAATCTAGTGGTAAAAAATTGTTCAAATATTAAAACAAACAAACAATGATTAAATTTTGGTAGATGTCAAAAAGCAAAAAAGAACAACTTCTCTTATTTACACATTGTGAATTTAAAAAAATGAAAACAGATTCAGAAAAACCTTCTTAGGTCAATATTTAGTTCAATATATAAAATAACGGCATTGTTTAAATCAAAGGTGTGTTTAAAGTTTGGCATATGGTCTGAAAGCATTGTTTTGTATTGATTTTTATTTTTTGAATTATATTTATGTTGAAGCATTCTCTTAGATATATATTGTGAACTCTCTCCAATATAGAATTTTTCACAATATCAAATATATATATATATATATATATATATATATATATATATATTAGGTTGTCAAATATCTCCCTTCCGCTTTTTTGCTCTTGGTTTATAATACAAAAAGGCGGAAGGGAGATATTTGACAACCTATTATATATATATATATATATATATATATATATATTCCATACGTTTCGACATACTTTCTTACGTAATCTTTAGTGGACTACTAATTGAAAGAGTATTAATTTTATAACAAAAGTAGCATGAACAAAAGAAATGATACTTCTTCACTTTGTAAGAATAACCGAATTGTTTTAAGCAATATTTGAAAATTATTTTTTTTATATACATAACCGCAATTTTTGGCTTCCTTTCTTGCTCATTAAAATGTTGCATTCTTGCATCATTGCAAAAATTGTATCGTTGAAAAAATTTATAATTTTTTTCGATAAATATTTCCAATAACTTTATATTTCCACACATTTCGATATACTTTCTTACGTAATCTTTAGTGAACTACAAATTGAAAGTGCATTAACTTTTTAACAAAAATAGCATCAACAAACGAAATGATACTTCTTCACTTTGTAAGAATAATCGAATTGTTTAAAACAATGTTTAAAAATTATTTTTTTTTAAATACATAACCGCAATTTTTCGCTTCCTTTCTTGCTCATTAAAATGTTGCATTCCTGCATCATTGCAAAAATTGTATCGTTGAAAAAATTATTTACCAGCCTTAAGTCAGTCCTTACAATTTTATCAAGTTAGTCTGTAGTCCCCTTACAATTTAAAAAAAAATAGCTTTTGTATCGTGTACTTTTTTCCTTTACCTAAACTAAACAATGCGAAATTCAATCTAAAAGTATTTTTGAAGAAATAGGGACCTATTCTGCCGCACAACGGAAAAATGTTATGGCAAGGCCATGTTATGAAAAACTTTCCATACTGTATATAGACAAAAGCCATGTGGTTGTTGTGCAGTCACGCGTATTTCTCAGGTTATCAGATAGAAAATTGAACGTAGAAACCGCACATATGTCAAAAAAAAAAACGATCTTATATAACAGGATCTTTCTGACTCAGCTTCATAACATACGAGTGACGTTGCAGTTTATGTGTGAAACGCCTGAATGCACAGCAAATATGAGACATTTTGACAGTACACCTAAGTCTGTTTTTACACGGTCTTTTTGTACACGGTTTTGATATAACACGGTTTGAAAATTGAATATTTTTAATTTTTTTACACGATTTTATTCCATTTAGCACGATTTGAAATTTTATGTGCTTAAATTTTTTTTGTCAAATTTAATTTTTGCGAAGTATGTTCATATCACAAAAAAGTATTTATGAAAGAAAAATGTCTGAAACCATCGATAGTATCGATAGTTTGCGAACACTAGCTTAAAGATTTAAGTGAATTCCCCTTTAGCGCGTACAAACAACAATTTTTACTGGTCAAAGCAAATGTGAATAGCATTATATATTTGATTTAATAAAATAAACATGAATTCTTGTTCTTAAATATTCTTGTTTTTCACTAATTTTAATAGGTTTTAGAGATTAGGAACAAATCACCCATTTTTGTATAAGATCAATGTCTTTTTTTACACGTTTTTTTTTCGTACACGTGTGGGAGTAGTAATGATTATGACTATATATAAAATTAGAAACTCCCAACATAATAAAAAAATATAAATTTATTAACTGTAAAAATATTTCGATATCAAAAAAATATCATGACCTGTCCGATTGTTTTTTACAAATCAAAACCAGCCTGCTTGATATCGCCACACACTCCCTGCCCAGTGTTGATCTCACAGTTTAAAAAAAAAAACAGGGAAACACGTTATAAAAATGTGGTGGGAAAGCAGATTATAGCAGACCAGTGTTGTAATACTGGTCAATTACAAATTTCCATGTTTCGTCAGCAGATCCACCGTATGTGGTGATTTGACCTGCCATCAACTCCATATTCTGCATAATGTTCTCGATCTAATGGGTATTAGTTATATCAGAATAACTTAATGTTTAGAATGCATAATTTATGGGTACAGTTTCCATTTCTGCAAGCGTTGCATTCGTATCTGATGAGTTCCGATCAGAGAAAGAAGTTGGCTCTTTATCCAAATCAGGATCATTGGTTTCTTTGACATAAGAGTCCAGAATTGTGGAATCCAATAAATTATGTCAAATTTGTTTTGATTCGTCGTTGTCACCGATAATGGGAGGTAGCATTATAAGACGATTTGTTGAGTTAACAGAGAAAGAGAGGTTGAATTGCATTCCAATGAAAAGTTCAGGCTCCAAATTATTTTTTCTGTCAGCAATAAACACTGAGGTCTGGGTATACCAAATGAGTAACCTCGGAAGTCTGATCCAGATAGTAAGTGCGTTAACTATGATGGATTGGACTGGACATACCTTATAGGTCGTCACTGAAGACCAGTGATTATGGTGCTGCGTCAAAATCAATTTTTCTTAAATCTTCGAAAAATAAAACTCCATTATCTTCATCTCCATCGTCGTGAGTCATCAATGTGGGAGTAGTAATGATTATGACTATATATAAAATTAGAAACTCCCAACATAATAAAAAAATATAAATTTATTAACTGTAAAAATATTTCGATATCAAAAAAATATCATGACCTGTCCGATTGTTTTTTACAAATCAAAACCAGCCTGCTTGATATCGCCACACACGGCTTCTTCTGGAACCAATCTACCGTGTAAAAACAGACTTAGGTGTATACATTTTGATTCAGTATGGAAGTTGGAGAGGAACATGGCCTTGTCATAACATTGGTCAGATAAATCTCCAAATTAAATATTTTTAATAAAGCAGAATACATCATTTTACGCCACCTAGCCTTATAAGCCAACTATATACCTATGTCCATTCAATCTAATTAAAAATATCAAATTATCATTTTTAATTCTTGGATTTTTATGATTATATTTTGTCTATCTATTCATACAGATATTTATTATTTATATTTAGATTTAGTAAATGATGCCGTATCCCTGGCCGAAGCCCAAGAGATCTGGCACCATCTGTTCTCATTCAATTGCGTTCTGGTGTGTTTGGAAGAGAACCAGGACGGAACTTTGGTGATGACACCAGGAACCAACACACCTTACATCGTTGGATGCAATTTGACCTACGTTTGCAGTAAGGGCGAAAAAAATCCCAAGGTAATAAAAGAAACGGAATGAGAAATACAGCTATAAAAAATAATTCTTCTCGTTTCTTTTTATTTTTATATATTTAGCACTTTGTCAAAGTAAGTCGAAATAGAATAGAACAATAGTTAATTCCTGGTGACGTCTATTTTCCATGTATCACAATTCCTAACATACCTAAGACAAGAGCACCCATTTTAACTTGAATAAGATTAGTCGTGTATCGGATAACACGAACGTCCTGGACCATATTTTAGTGATTCAATATATAATCATTACTCTGATGATGAGACAAACCGAGTCTGGAAACTATTGTAAATAATCTTATTCATAAAAATGAATCGCAAAATATTTTGGTAAGCGCATAACTCAACAACGCCTGGACCAATTTGGCCAATTCTTTTTTTAAAATGTTCTTTGATGTCCAAAGATGGTTCTTACAGCGAGAAAAAATCTAATAATTGTCGAGAAAATCCTAAAAACAGCCCTTTTTCGCATACAAACGTTTTCTTAGAATTCGTAGAAACAATTCGAGCTTATTGCTATTATAACTAGCTGTAAGTGGAATTCTGTCTTGAGGCAATTAGGGCATCGTGCCTTAAGGCAAATTGCTGGAACTTCCCGTACCAAAAATTATTATTTTTTTTTAAAACGATTAACATTTTTGAAAAAAAAATACTTTGAAAAAATAAGATTTTTGAGAAACTATAAATTGGACAAAAAATTAGTTTTTTTTGAAAAAAAAAAATTTTTTTTAAAAATTTTTTTTTAAAAAAGAATTTTTTTTTCTTTATTTTGACATATTGTGGAAGATCTGAACTTTTTTTTCAAAGCAATCGTACTGCTTTAACTACATAGGGACAAAATATAAAGCGCGTAAGCGCCGCGTCGCTTACGGAACCCATAGGAATGTTAACAAAATGTATACTTATTGTTAAAATCTCTATAAAATGTCTGATAATTTGATGTGCATATGTCTAATGATCATTTTTGACCGCCAAATGGCTCATTTTTTTACTTTTTCCTCTATATCTCCGAAACCGCTGGACCTACCTTCATGAAAGTTGTATCGATTCTTCATCTTGTCAATATAAATAAAATGTTTTTTGAATTATTAAAATCGGACGCTCCGTTCTCTTAAAAACTGAGTTACCGTTTTCGGAACTTTTTGCCCCGTATCTTCGGAACGGCTTGGCCTGCCTTTGCCAAAAACTAATCAGCACGTCTCCTTATCAATACGGATCGAATGCTTTTTGAATTATTCAAATCGGTTGATCCGTGTTCCCGAAATCGTCGACGAAAATTTGTATCCGCACATACATACACACACATACATACATACATACATACACACACACATACACACACACACACACACACACACATACATCCATTTTTTCTAAGGTATGCCAAAATGTTCAGAAACCTCTGAAACGTAAAGATATATAAAAATTTTCATTTTCGATTTTTTTGCGATTACTATAACTTACCCTACGGGAAGTTAAAAAGTTCATATTAAATTACAAGCACTCACTGTATACTCCTTCTAAACAATTATTCGGATTTTGATAAATCTTTCTGAAGTTTAAGCAAATTTTCTAGGATGTATGTGATTATAAAGTCCTAGGATGCATGTGCAATATCGTAGAAATAAACCGAGTAAATGCAAAAAACGACATGTCATTGTTTGCATTGAAAACAAATAAAAACTATCATCTGCCAAAAATTTCAATTTACTTATGAGCCTAGATAATATTAGAATATGTATAATAAATTCAGGATTATGAATAAGAAAAATGAAATGTCTACATTATTATTGCCGAAAAGCACCTGAGATGTGCCAGAAATTAAAATAATATAAAATACGGTATATGTATGGCAGATTAAATGATACACATATGAACAAATATGACAAATTAATTCACTTGAAATATGAAATTAAGCATTAATCAGAGCCGGTTCTACTTTTAATGCGATGCATACGAAAAATACGAGCGCACGCCTTAGGGGGCGCCACACAAGATTCGGATATTAAATTTTCAATATAGTTTTTTTTTCAATATATATTTTATTTGCATCTCTTACTAATGTTTTCACAATATTTTTAAAATTCGTACAAATTTCACTTTATAGCAACAAATGGAAAAGTAAAGATGAATACATACAATTCGGCCCTCACGATAGCGATTAGGAAAAGTTTAAGATACAATTTTAGATATCTTAAATAATAAAAAATTAAATTAATTCAATCTAACATGAAGTACCAGTGGTTTGTTATGGTTGTGGTTATGTTATAACCGTTTAAAAGACTTTAATTTCCAATACAGTGTGAGAATTGAGACTCATCATTTGATTTAAAGCAGTTCTACATTTAACATCGCTCATATTATAAATGTATAGGCATTTTGGCGTGAAGAGTAATTTAAAAAACAATAATTATTATTTGTAAGTAAACGGTAAATATTAGTATATTATATTAAAAAATTGCGGACATGGGTACAGGACAACGTTTGTCGGGTCATCTAGTTTATATATATTTTTTTTAGGTAAAAGGCGAAGCTTTGTCGATAATATGCGAAGCAATGGACTATGTGGCTTCCTTCACCGACAGTTTCGCCCACTACGGAGTAGACGAGTACCTCTACGCCTTCGGTTTAAGCGTGGACCCGCGTTATAGAGGAATGGGCATCGGGATGGAAATTCTTAAAGCCAGAAACGATTTAGGATTGAAGGTAAGTGAAAGAAACTAGAAATAAATGTGTGAAATAACATTTGTTAGGGACATTTTTAGTTATCAAACATCAGCAAAATATTACATCTGACAATGAGGCGTCGTTTCGGGTCCACGACTAACGTAGCATTCATCTTTATAATTGGGAAAAAAACAAGTGCATGTCAGATTGAATTTTACGGTTTATTAAAATTGCATGAAAAGCTTACAAAAGTGTACAGATAATTAAATAATTGCTTACAAAAAACCATACATAATCGAGACTCTAATGTGCGTTTGTGGAATCAAAAAAATGTCTTACATTTTAATCAAGATATAGAAGCGAATATGGAATCGGACAGTAAACCATCAGAAATCCCAAAACTACGAAAGACCGTTATTGGATCCAGCAAATACAGCAAGATACCCCGCGAAGAAGGTCGGACCAATATGTTTACATCGGAAAAGGTCTCGCTGCGTTCAACTTCATCAGTTTCTGACTCAAGACAGGAAGTAATATCATCTAGTAATAGTGCATCTACAAGCCTCACTCAACCACATTCTGATGTCAAGAAACCTCCTAATTCATGGCAAGTAGTCAATTTCAAAAAAGAAAAACTTCATTTGAACCATTAGGAATAGATGTCAAAATTCAAAACCGATTTTCGGCCCTTTCAACAATAGAAACAGCTAATGATGACAACTCAGTTAAACCGGCTCCAGTCAGTAAGCCCCCTCCAATATTTCTTTATGGAGTTGACGATATTAATGATATGTCTAATCAATTAAATGAAATAATTCCGCACGATCAATATTTCCTGAGAAGTTTAGCTAACAATACATTTAAAATTCTATGTAATTCTGTCGACCATTTTCGAACTTTATCCAGACATCTAAAAGAAACTAATGCCGTATATCATACATATCAATTAAAAGAAGAGAAGGCTTATAGGGTTGTTCTTAGAAATGTACACTTTTCAACAAGCACAGATGCAATTAAATTAGAACTATTAAAACAGGGTCATGTCGTACGTAATATCCTAAATATTAGACATAGAATAACAAAAGAACCTCTTAATATGTTTTTTGTTGATCTGGAACCAAATAGAAATAACAAAAATATTTATAACATTTATAAATTATTCAACTGCATAATACGCGTCGAACCACCGAGAAAGTCCAACAACATTATACAATGCACTCGCTGTCAACTCTTTAATCACACCAAAAAATACTGCAATAGACCATTTGCTTGCCTAAAATGCGGTGACAATCATAATACTATAGCTTGTACCAAAGATCCGAATGCTCCGGCATGTTGTTATTTTTGCGACGGTGCTCATCCAGCTAATTATCGCGGTTGCTCATACTTCCAAAAAATTAAAGAACAAAGAAACAAAACCCCAGTAAATCAATCAGTCATAAATCCAAATCCAAATAACCAAAATTTTAAAAATTCTAATAATTCTAATTCTAATAATAAAATAAATAACATTTCTCCGGCCTTAAATCCAACAATTCAAAATTCATCCTATGCAGACATTGCAAAAAACATTTACTCTGCTTCTAATCATTCACCTTCAAATCCTGACTCTGATTCTCTAGCAACACTTATTTTAGAATTTAAAAATATCTTCAATCAGCTTTTGCAACAGAACACCATAATAATAAATATGTTATCCACGTTAGTCAACAACAAAAGCAATGGCAAAAATAATTAAAATTGCTGAATGGAATGCCAACGGTTTAATACCTCACAAAAATGAAGTAGAATGTTTTTTAAAGTTAAACTTAATAGATATCTTATTAATCTCAGAAACTCACTTCACTGAAAAAAATTACTTCAAAATTTATAACTACACTACTTATAATTCAAATCACCCAAGTGGCAGGGCTCGCGGCGGTTCGGCTATATTAATCAAAAATAATATAAAGCATTTTGTTCTACCAAATATTTCTGATGATTTTCTACAAGCAACTCAAATTTCTGTTGAAACAAATTTATATAATTTTTGTGTTTCTGCTGTTTATTGTCCACCAAGATTCAAAATTTCTTGTGCTCAGTTTTCTTCATTTTTCTCTCAATTAGGTAATAAATTTATCATTGGTGGTGACTTTAATTGTAAACATATTGCCTGGGGTTCTAGACTGACTACAGCCAAAGGAAAGATTCTTCATGCAGCCATAGGGCAAAATAACCTCTCCTTTATTTCAACTTGCAGTCCAACTTATTGGCCTTCTGACCCTACTAAAGTTCCAGACCTTTTAGATTTTTTTATTGTGAAAGGTATTGATCTTTCAAATCTCAATATTGAATCTAGTTACGATCTCTCTTCAGATCATTCTCCAATACTTGTGACGTTTAGCACATTTCCTACTCCAGTTATCAACAATCATATTCTACACAACAATCTTTCTAACTGGATTCAATTCAAATCCATACTTGATTCAAAATTATTTCCAAAATCTAGGCCTACAAGCGTTATTGATATAGAAAATAATATAGATTATTTTTCTGAGATTGTACGTGAAACAACCAAGCAGATCACCCCGAACATTAATCCAAGAAATGATAATCTAATAATTCCGCAAGAGATTAAGAAGCTAATTGCACAGAAACGAAGAGCAAGACGAACCTGGCAACATTCTCATCTACCAACGGATAAGACATCGCTTAATCATCTCAATAACACGCTGAGGAAAAAAATGAAAGAATGGAAGAATTGTACATTCAGGTCGTATATATTGCAGTTAAATAGGTACGATAATTCCATATGGAAACCAATCAGAAACAAAAGAAAACCCCTACAACAAAACCCTCCTCTGAAAATAACCAACCAAAACGGATTCATTTGGGCAAAAAGCAACGAAGAAAAAGCGGAGGCATTTGCTGATCATCTAAGTAGCATTTTTAGCGCTCGAAATATTTCCCAGAATAATTTAATTAACAATTTCGTAAATCAACCCATACATTCTACACCGTTAGGACATTTTTCACCAAATGATGTCTTATGTGAAATAAAAAGGATAAAAAATAGATCTTCGCCAGGTATGGATAAAATTACTCCAAAGATGTTAAAAGAATTGCCTACAAAAGGTATCTTATATATAACAAATATTTTCAACGCCATACTTCAATACAATTATTGGCCCACAGCGTGGAAGACTGCAGAAATTATTATGATCGCTAAACCAAACAAAAACCATCACACTGCTAGTTCATACCGTCCTATCAGTCTTTTATCGATATTATCGAAAATTTTAGAAAGACTTTTGTTGCAGAGATTATCAGAAGATCATCCGAATGATAGTTGGATTCCTCACCATCAGTTTGGCTTCAGAAAAAATCACTCTACAATTCAACAATGCAACAGAACGGTGTCTCGTATTCTTGAAGCCATGAATAGAAAGGAACACAGTGTAGCCGTATTCTTAGATGTCAGTCAGGCTTTCGATAAGGTTTGGCACTCAGGACTCCTATATAAAATCAAAACAACTTTTCCAAACTACTTCAATATCTTAAGCTCATATTTGCTTAATAGAAAATTTAGAATCAAAATTAAAGATGTGACTTCGAGCATCAGAAATATAGAATGCGGGGTACCACAGGGCAGTGTGCTAAGCCCTGTACTTTATCTTCTTTTCACAAACGATATGCCCACAGATGATCTTCTAACCATATGCACTTACGCCGATGACATAGCAATTATTTCATGCAATTCCGATATTAGAACAGCAACTTGTCAGTTACAAAATTATTTATCTAGTCTCGAAAAATGGTTTTTAGATTGGAATATCAAAATCAATATCGAAAAATCTCAGCACATAATTGTTTCTCTAAAACATCACAATAGTCCACCTATCATCATGAACAATTCAATAATTCCACTATGCAATTCTGTTAAATATTTAGGCATGCACATTGATTCGAAATTGACATGGAGAACGCACATTGAATATAAAAAGAAACAAATCCAACTGAAAATAAAAGATTTTTACTGGCTTTTTGGGAGGAAATCTGAAATCTCTCTTGATAACAAGGTACTTTTGTATAAAACTATCATAGTGCCCATTTGGACTTATGGAATCGAACTATGGGGTTGCTCTTGCAAATCTAACATAAACATCATTCAAAGGTGCCAGAATAAAATTCTGCGTATCCTTACTAATGCGCCTTGGTATATTTCGAATTTTTGCCTACATAAGGATTTGAAAATCTCAACAGTCAACGAAATGATCAAGATTAGAAGTTCATCTTTTAACAACAAATTAATCCAGCATACAAATCCTACAATTCAAGCGATTCAGAGACCGATAAGAAGATTGAGCAAGAAATGGCCTTCCGATCTACCAAACACCTAGCCCAATGTCTGCACGCGTCCTGACGTAGTACGCGGCATACATCATCACGTCATAGTTCATTTATGTTATTATTTTTGTATTACTGTTTTAATTTAATTTTTATTTCAACTTTTTTCATTTTATATTCAATGTATTGCATTTTTTGTTTTTTTGTATTTTTTTTTTTTTGCTCATATCAATTTTGTAAATAAGACATTAAAGTCTTGATTAACAAAAATAAATTGTAACAAAAAAAAAAAAAAAAAAAAAAAAAAAATCTTTATAATAATCTTATATTTACCATCTTATCTTATATTTTTTACTAGGTTGGTTTAAAAGCTACAGTAACAACCTTTACTGCAATAGCTTCCCAGAAACTAGCCGAAAGATGTGGATACGAAGTTTTAGTCGAAAAGACATATGAAGAAATCGAGAAACACAACCCCAGATTCAAATTCCCGGGAATACAGACTAAATCGATGAAAATAATGGGCAGGAAACTGGATGTACATTTACCATAATAGAAATACATGTATAGTCTATATTTGTATTTGAATTAATTATATTTACAACTGTATGTGATTTATTAAATATATATTTTATGACCTAGTCTTATGTTATTTTATACAGTTTAGATTTATAGAAATATACTATTTAGTAATATTTTGAAACCTAACAAATATTGTCAGATTTCTATATACATCTCAAATATTTTATGAGGTAAATTCGAATAACGAGATATCATTTAAAATTATAATCTTTAAGTTTCTTTTTATTTCATATTTTATTTTAATTATTCACAGTAAATGTGTCTGTGTGTGATTGATAGGGAGATGTGCTGATTAGTTTTTGGCAAAGGTAGGCCCAGCGATTTCGGAGCTAAATGTTAAAAAAAAATGGCAGTTTTTGAGTGAACTAAGCGTCCGATTTGTATGATCTAAAAAACTTTCTGCTTGTATTGACAAAACAATTGCTGTTGAGGATAAAAAATTATTACATCTCTTTTTATTTTCCATAAAATATTTTTGTAATTTTGGATTAAAAATTCAAAAAAATACCCAGACTAAGCACAGTCTAAGCGCCACTCTGGTACAAATGCGTTACCCAAGTGCGTTTAGACTGTTTATGTACTGGAGCACTTATTCAATTTTGTGAAAACGCTATTGAAAAATGTGAAAATGCCGCCAAGCTAAGCACAGTATAAGTGAAAATGCTGCACAGAATTATTTGCAAATGCGTTTAGGCTGTGACTATACGGGAGCACTTTTTCAATTTTGTGTAACTTATGCAACTATTTTTTTTTAAATTAAATTCGAAATGAAATGACGATTGTTAATGTTCTCGAGATAAATTGATTTATGATTTACATTTGATTTGCTCAGATATAACAAGATATCAAAAATAATGAAAGTTACAGTATTTGTAATAATATATTTGAAAACTTTTAAAATTTCTCGTGTAGTTCATTACAGTACGGGAAGTTCCAGCAATTTGCCTTAAGGCACGATGTCATATACCACTAGTTAATTATTTTTTCTTATACTGATTTTAATATTGATGTAACTGAATTTTTATAACAATTTTTAACATGTTTGAAAAAGCAAAAAAAACATTAGTTACATCAACAGCTTTTCAATATGCTATTGTTATTATAAAAGTACATGTAAAATGAATTTTTACTTTTAGTTCAAAATATTTACTACATATTTTTAACACTTCCCGATTTTTTTTATCAATGGAAAGATGATACTAATTTAAATTCAATCGATGACTTCGAGAAAATAATTTTGTGTCCGGAATTCTCATCGTTATCTTCTTTTCGAGATAAATACACAATCATAGAAAATTTAGGCAAAAACAAATTAAAAACTGTTATTGTAAATGATAAATGATAATTTATAATACACACACATATATATACATATACATATATGTAGGTATGTATGTATATTTATTTAAAAGTCGTTGAACGCAAGTTTTGATAAATAATAAATTGAAATTTCTAATCTTATTGATTTAAAAAAATATATTCAATGGCAGTGTGTAGTTTGTTATTTTAAGTTTAGAGAAAACTTTGGTATATAAATTTAATGTAAGAATAATTATTGCATATGTTTTTTTAAGTTTTAGAATCTTTAAAGACTTATGAGGAAATGGATTGTGCGTCTTGTATAAAAAAATATTATTCAAAAAAGTTTATTTTCATAATATTATGTCGATGTGCAAACTATAAAACAATTTTCACTTCATATATATATTTTTTTAAAATCTTAATGACAAACATTTTATTACAACCATTTACTAACACCAAGTGAAGTGAAGTCATATTATCAAATACTCTTCAGTAATGGTTTTCGAAAAAAAAAATAATAGTGATATGGATTCATTTGTTTCTCAATTTATAATATTCTTTTAAAAATCGTTTTCTTTTGAAAAAAATGGTTCATAATCCATTCTCTCGTAACCTTTTACCATTCCGTATACATAAACTTATCCAAATTAATTATAAGGAACAATTAAAGACTTGAGAGAAATTGCGTTTGTTGACACAAGAAGTATTAATGGATATTAGTAACGACTCAACTATCTTTCTAAGGTCACAATTTTTTTCAATATATAAGATGGTAGCATTTGACATGTTGAAAGTATGGGTCAAAGTTAATCATATGTTCTCATAGCATAGTTTTGAATTGATTTGGGTTTCTAGAATTATATGTATATATATATATATATATATATATATATATTATTTTTTTTCCAAGAATGTCTACTACTAACGGAAATCACAAAGAATGGCGTCGGCCAGCCTCGGTTCCGTACCCGAGCATTTGGCGCCGGTTCGAGCGCCCGGACAAAAATGAACCGGAACGAATCCGGAAATTCCGGGTGCAAGACGCCAGCGACAAAGACTTACAAGATGCCATCGTGAAACATATGTCCGAGATATTTTTAGAAGACGAACCGACTTGTCACTCACTCAGTAAGTGAAAATAGAAATAGGTATAGAAATATGTATATATATATATATATATATATATATATATATATTAGGGCGGATCGATTTAAAAGTCTAGGCTCATAAGTAAATTGAAATTTTTGGCAGATGACAGTTTTCATTTGTTTTCAATGCCAAACAATGTCTCAAATATTTTCAATGTCAAAAGAAGACATGTCGTTTTTTGCAAGTTTTTCCATTTTTTCTACAATCTAACTATATTTCTATAATCATATACATTCTGAAAAGTCCCGAAACTTCAGAAAGATTTATCAAAATCCGAATAATCGTTTAGAAGGAGTATATTTGCATACATCATTACAAAGAAATTTTATATATAAGATATCTTCAGGGCAATTCACCAAATAAAAATGTAACTAGTAGTGTATGGCATCGTGCCTTAAGGCAAATTGCTGGAACTTCCCGTACCGTAATAAAATATTCGAGAAATTTTAAACGTTTTCAAATATATTATTACAAATACTGTGCAACTTTCATTATTTTTGCTATCTTGTTATATCTGAGCAAATCAAATGTAAATCATAAATCAATTTATCTCCAGAACATTGACAATCGTCATTTCATTTCGAATTTAATTTCAAAAAAAAAAATAGTTGCCCAATTTGCACAAAATTGAAAAAGTGCTCCCGTATAGTCACAGTCTAAACGCATTCGCAAATAATTCTGTGCGTCATTTTCACTTATACTGTGCTTAGCTTGGCGGCATTCTCACATTTTTCAATAGTTTTCACAAAATCGGAAAAGTGCTCCAGTACACAAACAATCTATACGCACTTGGGTAAAAATTTGTAACATAGTGGCGCTTAGACTGTGCTTAACCTGGGTCATTTTTTCAATTTTTAATCCAAAATTACAAAAATATTTGATGGAAAATAAAAAATATGTAATAATTTTTCATCCTCAAAATCAATTATTTTGTCAATGCAAGCAGAAAGTTTTTTAGATCATTCAAATCGGACGCTTAGTTCACTCAAAAATGCCATTTTTTGCACATTTAGCTCTGTGTCTCCGAAACCGCTGGGCCTACCTTTGCCTACGGGAAGTTAAAAATGTTTCAATATGAATAGTATTGGATATAAATTTATATTTTCCTTTCAGATTTAAAAAATGATGCCGTATCCTTAGCCGAAATCCAAGAAATATGGCGAGATTTATTTACATTCAATTGCGTTCTGGTGTGTTTGGAAGAGAACCAGGACGGAACTTTGGTGATGACACCAGGAACCAACACACCTTACATCGTTGGATGTAATTTGACCTATGTTTGCAGTAAGGGCGAAAAAAATCCCAAGGTAATAAAAATTAACAAGTAGCAAGAACTTAAAAGACAGCTGTCTTATCTTAACAAGACAAAATAATTTCAACAAAGATAATCTGAGTAGTTGTAAGAAACAATTTGTATATTTTGCTTTGTTTTTACTATTTAGTATTATAGTAGCAAACCGGGCGAACTCCGTTTCGCCACCAGATGGTTTCGTGAGAAATATAAAGAATTTTTTTGTTTGTTTTATATTTGAAAAGGAAAATTTGATTTTATTATACAACAGTAATGAATTTATTTCGATTACAAAAATGAAGTGTTTTTTAGTTGAACTTCTCTAAGTAAATGAAAGTGAATCCGCAAATTATCCGTTTCATTGAAGTGCTCTTTGGTAAACCACATTTTTTGTTTTTTGGTCTGACGTTAACACAAACAAAGCGGATGGTTTTCCAACTCGTGTAAAGGGCAACGTATAACTGCCCACGTGAAAAACAATGATTTTCTAAATAATCTATTTGAAATTTATCCCGCAAACACTAAACGATTGGCCTTGCGACTTGTTAATTATCATTGCGAAAGCAAGGCGAACTGGAAATTGCAATCGTTTGAAGTCAAACGGAAGACCAGTCGGAATCATTGGTATGTCACCAAATCGCCAACAATTTTTTATTGAATGGTGAATTTCAGTGCGTGTACATTATTCTTTGCAGCAAGAATTACTCGTTGACTTAACCAAGCATAATTCTGACAATTCTCACTAATGTCATTACTCGAATTTTTAATTACGGTGCGTGAAGTTCCAGCAGCTTGCATTAGGGCACGATGCCATGCACCACTAATTTTCTTATCTATAAACCTTGCTGAGCCCGAGACCTTTCCAACGAATGCAAAATTGTCGAAAGTTATGCAAAGCGTTCTAGAGTTATTTCGTCAGGAAGGAAAACCCGACTTATTTTTATATATATAGAAGATTAGGATTTATTAAAGAGATGCTTTTATGTCATACGTTTCGACACACAATTTTATGTCATATTCAATAGTAATACTTAACGATTAACTAAGTAATTAAATTATTGAACGCTTTAGTTTTCGTAATTTACATATAACTAGTTCTACATACAACTCAAGTAACATTCGTAATAAAGATTTTAATAGATTTTCACATACTTATTTATAAGTTTATATCGTTTGTCAGGTAAAAGGCAAATCTTTATCGATAATATACGACGCAATCGACTATCTGTCTTCGTTTGCCGACTGCTACGCTCACTACGGCGTGGACAGGTACCTCTACGCCCTCGGTTTGAGCGTAGACCCGCGTTATAGAGGAATGGGTATAGGGATGGAGATATTAAAAGCCATAAACGATTTAGGACTGAAGGTAAGTGGAAAAAAAACTAGGAGTAAATGACATTTGCCTTAATAAAATCTGCACAAACTTCCCTAAATAGATAGTAATAACATTTGTGAAGACCATTTTTAGTTATTGGACAAAATTGTTTGACACATTTTTGTGTAATGTTATATATTGTAATTCAAATGTCCCGCCATTACTATTAGTGATGTTGGCAATAGTGTTCCCCTACTACAACTATGTATCCGCCATTTATGTTTATGTTTATGTTAAAACTATGTAAAATAACTCTCTTGCTGCTGAAACGCGATACAAGTAACATTTAAAATAAACTGAGTAATTTAAAGGACGCATTTTTATTTTACCAGTTATTAAACAATTTTATATCTCACAACCATGCATCGTTTCGGGTCTACGACTAACGTAACATTTATCTTTATAATAATATCTTATATTTACCATCTTATCTTATATTTTTACTAGGTTGGTTTAAAAGCTACAGTAACAACCTTTACTGCAATAGCTTCCCAGAAACTAGCCGAAAAATGCGGATATGAAGTTTTAGTCGAAAAAACATATACAGAACTCGAAAAACGCAATTCAAAATTCAAATTTTCAGGAATACAAGCTAAATCGATAAAATTAATGGGCAGGAAACTGGATGTACATTTACCATAATAGAAAATACATGTATAGTCTATATTTGTATTTGAATTAATTATATTTACAACTGTATGTGATTTATTAAATATATATTTTACGACCTAGTCTTGTCTATTATTTTACACAATTTAGATTTATAGAAATATACTATTTATTATTTTTTTGAAACCTAACAAATATTGTCAGATTTCTATATACATTTTAATAAGATTTAAGCAAATCACGAGATTCAATTTAAAATCCAAAAATATGGAGAAGATTAAAATTTACTTAAGAAATATCACTGATAAACTTTCAGTCCTACTTTTTGGCAAAAGAAGGGATGCCTAAATAACTTTCGCCTTAGATAAAAAACGTATTTGGTTTATATAACAGAACATCTTATTCATAATTACAACTTAAGGACTATTATATATATATATATATATATATATATATATATATATATATACACCTAAGTCTGTTTTTACACGGTCTTTTTGTACACGGTTTTGATATAACACGGTTTGAAAATTGAATATTTTTAATTTTTTTACACGATTTTATTCCATTTAGCACGATTTGAAATTTTATGTACTTAATTTTTTTGTCAAATTTAATTTTTGCGAAGTATGTTCCTATTTTTTTCGTTCACAACATAGTTTTTTAGTTCACAACATAGTTTTTTAGTTCCTGATCATACATCTAATTTATATTACTTTTAAGATTAGAGTGCATATCTTTTTTATCATTAATTACTATGCTTTTGAAAATAAGCATTATATATTTGATTTAATAAAATAAACATGAATTCTTGTTCTTAAAAATTCTTGTTTTTCACTAATTTTAATAGGTTTTGGAGATTAGGAACAAATCACCCATTTTTATATAAGATCAATGTCTTTTTTTACACGTTTTTTTTTTACACGGCTTCTTCTGGAACCAATCTACCGTGTAAAAACAGACTTAGGTGTATATATATATATATATATATATATATATATATAATACATATATATGTATATATATATATATATATATCCTTTATAAAAAATTTTTCTTCCTCCTACCTTAAATAAAACATAAATGCATATTATCCCATGAACAACATTTATCATCAATATTATTATTTACATTGCAGAAAGTTCTTCTTTACTTAAAACTTGGACACTTTCAACGGGCATTGTGTGTGTTGCAATGTGTGCTGTTAAGGCTGATCCTTGGGTGAATGATTTGTTGCAAGTTGTGCAGACGAAAGGCTTTTCACCGGTGTGTAACCTCATATGAACCTGGAGGAAACAAAATACATTTTAATATATCTTATATATAAAAATGAAGCTCTCGATCAAATGATTCGGTAAAACTCGAAAACGGCTAAACCGATTTGGCCAGTCTTAGTCTTGAAAAATTCTTGCTAATCAGTAAGTTGTCGGAAATGTGAGAAAATATTTCAAAACCGCGTAGAAACTTTACATTTTTAATTTGAAAATTTTTGTAGAAGCGTAATTTAATTAAAACAATGGACGGTGGCTAATACGTCAAATGTCAAACGTTTTTGACAGATGATGTTCAATTACGTTTAATAGGATGTTTTACGCGAATATTATTTAATTATGATTAAATTGTAGTAAGTAGTTCTGTTTGTAGTTTTATTTATACACAAAAACGTTAGTGAAGAAGAATTATAAGAATATAAATTCAAATATGTTTTTAACAGAAGAAACTAAAAAATGCAATACACACTTGCATACTCTATTTTTATTAGTTGCGAAACGACGGTTGGATATGATATGAGAAGCACTTTTCAAAAATGTTTTAAAAACATACAATATTATACTAGAGCTATAAAATTTTAGTATGTTATTATCTAATATATGTACTTAATTATAAAAATATAAAATCACATATGTCTCTAACAAAAAAAGCTATAAATGCGCAATTTTGTAAACAAATGCACTCTTGCATATCTAGTTTCCAATAGTTGCAAGTCCACGGATTGATGAGTATTTTGAAATATATTTAAAAATATAAAACGTTATACTAGAGTTACAAAATTTTAGTATGTTATTTCTTAATATGTGTACTAAATTATAAAAATATAAAATCATACATGTTTCTTACAAAAAAAGCTATCAATTTGCAATTCAGTAAAATCATGTAATAGGGCCGCAAGTGTTACTACAAACTTAACAATATCAACTTTTTTGAAATGTTAATATGAAAATGCACTTTTTGGCATATTTTTCTCAAACACGGTGCTCTGAAAGATCTCATTTGTATAATTATATACTTATTGGTATTTATAAAACATTTTCTAGGTTATATTATTTTTTATTTATGTTATTTAAATTCAGAACCTAAATTTGATATCGATGAAATGGACATTTTTCAAATAACATTTTCCCAGTTACAATTTCCCAGAATTTATCGAAGAATAGATAGTAATATATGAAGATCCGGGGTTAAAAAGGTCCACCACCGATGTATCAAAAACCAGTAAAGTTAAGCATTGTTTAACAACAATATTTGAAAGTGGAGGGAAAAAATGTATAACCAGCTATAACCTTGATTCTCTAGACTTTGCTATCGGGAGATAAACGGCAATCTTTGAAAATCTATAATAAAAGTATTTTCTTCCGTTGGTAATTTTTTAGCATTTGTTAAAAATGTAATTATTTTGTAAAATACCTTCAAAATTAAAATAAGACATTAAACCTGTTTGCCGCCTGGCTGTTTCAAGTTACTCCGTCTACAGGGTAAAAAGATCTAGATAACAAATTTTTGAAAGAAGGCAAAAAAGCACATTTTTACAATGGTGAAGGAGTTAGCAATTTTACTGAACGTATTCAGATAATTGTTTGTTTGAAATGTGTTATTTGTTGTGATATAATTGTTATGGTTTTCACAATATAGTTTATATTTGCTCAAAGTCAAATTGGACCTTTGTGCCTCGCCCAGCTCTACATATATACTTTTTATTAAATTTACTTTAATGCATCGAATGTTACTTGAAACTTTTCAAAAAGCAGGTCAAAGAAGAAATACTAAATTCATATTCTATCTCTCCTCACGGAAATTTGAAAATTTTGTATAAGGTCAGTAGTATTATTTGCAATTATATACAAAATCCAGAATCCAAAAAGAATCTGAACAACTTGAAATGTAATCAATAAGTTGAAAGAGCAAAAAAGACTTGGATTGGATTATACCATGTTTTCTATAGAAAGTGTATAAATCTTCCAGTTTGATTGTATTGACAAAATCTAGACAAACTAATGAGGTTTATTGTTTTTATAATACCTCATTGTATATAGCATTCAAACAACACATCATTCTTATACACTTAAGTATTATTATTTTTGATTCTCTAGAAATTGTTTAGAATATACCGCACTTAGCAAAACAACGTATGCCGGGTCAGCTAGTATATATATATATATATATATGTATATATATATATATATATATATATATATATATATATATATGTTAAAAATGTTTAAATTTGATGTTGAAATGTATGATTGATGTCTTGGAGGGCGTAACATCAAGTAAAAAATAAGTAAAGAAAAGATTTTTTTCGAAACATCTTTATTTTTCCATACGTTTCGACGTAAAATTCTACGTCATCTTCAGTGGTTCTACAATTTAAAAAAAGAAAAAAAACAAAGTAACGTTACAAATTGAATATACATAAGCAATAGTAAAAATAACTAAAGAGAATTGCATAAAACATTACTTACTTGAATTATTTATAATATCACTAACACATATTAATATAACTTGTAAAAATTAATAATTAGAGACAAGCTAGATATTAATATGTGTTAGTGATAATATAAATAATTCAAGTAAGTAATGTTTTATGCAATTCTCTTTAGTTAAAACTTTTCTTTTTACTATTGCTTATGTATATTCAATTTGCAACGTTACTTTCTGTTTTTTTTTTCTTTTTTTAAATTGTAGAACCACTGACGATGACGTAGAATTTTACGTCGAAACGTATGGAAAAATAAAGATGTTTTGAAAAAAATCTTTTCTTTACTTATTTTTTACTTGATGTTACGCCCTCCAAGAAATCAATCATATATATATTATATATTTATTTTACCTTAAGACTGCTGCTTCCTACAAATCTCTTGTTGCAAACAGTGCAAGCATGAGGCTTAACTCCCGTGTGTGATCTCATGTGACCAGAAAGATGGCTCGAACTCGTAAAGGCTAAAACCAAAGTAAAATTAAAATCGTACAAATCATTTTCGTAACAATAATAATTCTCTATCTATCTACCTCTATTACAGATAGTACACTTGTGCGGCTTTTCCCCCGTATGACTCCTCTGATGTATGGTCAGAGTCTCCTGCCTAGAGAATGCTTTTCCGCACATGTTACAAGCGAACGGGCGCTCCCCGGTGTGCGTTCGCATGTGAATCACTAGAGAGTTGGCCCCCGAGAAGGCTTTTCCGCACACATTGCAGACATAAGGTCGCTCCCCTGTGTGAGTCCTCATGTGGACGGGTATGTAACCGGATTGTGTGAAACCTTTACCGCAGACCGGACACAGGTAAGGTTTTTCACCTGTATGGACACGAAGGTGCTTTTCAAGGTTGCATAGTTGGGTGAAACCTGGGGAAAAGAGGGAATGATTGATTGGAAAATAATATTTATTTTTGAAGTTATACTTGTAATGGATTAAAAGTCTGGCCGAGCAGAAATGTTATGTTTATTGAAGTAAAACTTCTAACGTGAGTAAGTCAACAAGGTTGATTTAAACAAATAATGCTACCATAGAAGAAGTATGAAATAGACCAGAGGTGGGAAACCTTTTTGCCATTAGAGGCCACACTTAAATTAGGCATCAACTAGCTGTAAGTGGAATTATGTCTTAAGGCAATTAAGGCATCGTGCCTTAAGGCAAATTGCTGGAACTTCCCGTACCAAAAATTATTATTTTTTTAAAAACGATTAACATTTTTGAAAAAAAAAAAACTTTGAAAAAATAAGATTTTTAAGAAACTATAAATTGGACAAAAAATTACTTTTTTTTGAAAAAAAATTTTTTTTTAAAAAAGAATAATTTTTTTTAAATTTTTTTTTGACATATTTTGGAAGATCTAAACTTTTTTTCAAAACAATCGTACTGCTTTAACTGCATAAAGACAAAATATCTAAGCGCGTAAGCGCCGCGTCGCTGTCTAACGCGTAAACATTGGTACGGAACCCATAGGACTGTAAACCAAATTCATACTTATTGTTAAAATCTCTATAAAATATCTGATAATTTGATGTGCATATGTCTAATGATCATTTTTGACCGCCAAATGGCATTTTTTTTTTACTTTTTTCATTAGATCTCCGAAACCGCTAGACCTGCCTTTGTGAAAATTTGACCGGTTCTTCACCTTGTCAATATAAGTAAAATGTTTTTTAAATTATTAAAATCGGACGCTCCGTTCTCTTAAAAACTGAGTTACCGTTTTCGGCACTTTTTGCCCCGAATCTTCGAAACGGCTAGACCTGCCTTTGCCAAAAACTAATCAACACGTCTCTTATCAATACAAATCGAATGTTTTTTGAATTATTCAAATCGGTTGAACAGTGTTCCCGAAATCGTCGACGAAAATTTGTATCCGCACATACATACACACATGCCCATACATACACACACACACACACACATACATCCATCTTTCTAAGGTATGCCAAAATGTGCAGAAGGTTTTGAAACGTAAAGATATATAAAAATTTTCATTTTCAATTTTTTTGCGATTACTATAACCCTACAGGAAGTTAATTATATTTATTTTTAAAGTTATACTTATAATGCAATAAAAAAGAAAGTGTTTTAAATAGTCCGCAAATGTTCTAAATGGTCAAAAAAATTTTTGGTTGGTCTAAAAATGTTTTATATCGTCTAAAAATGTCCTGAATACGTCTAAAAATCTTTTGGTTAGTCTGAAAATGTTTCAGATTATCCGAAAACGTTCTAAATAGTATAAAAATGTTCTAGATGGCATAAAAAAGTTCTACATAGTCTAAACATGTTCTAGATGGCATAAAAAAGTTCTACATAGTCTAAAAATGTTCTAGGTGGCATAAAAAACTTCTACATAGTCTAAATATGTTCTAGATGGCATAAAAAAGTTCTATATAGCCTAAACATGTTCTAAATGGTCTGGGTAGTTTGCAAACCTTTTAAATGATATAAAAACGTTCTAGAAAATCTTAAAATATTCAAGATAATCTGAAAATGCTCTAAATAGTCCAGAAAATATGTTCAAAATAATCTAAAAAAGATATGAATAGTCTGAAAATGTTCTAGGATCTAGATAATCATATAATAGATAAAATAGTATATATTTATCATCAACCTCGAATTATCAATTCAAGTTTTAAAAATAATTTTTTTTGTACTTTACCTTTATTGCAGACGCTACAAATATAAGGCTTTTCTCCTGTATGCGACCTTATATGTATACTAAGAGACCTCGCTTCAACATATTTCTTATTGCAAATATTACAAGAAAACAATTTGTGTCCTGTATGGTATTTCATATGCTTCGATAGAGAACTTGCCCATTTAAAACCACGACCTGGAAAAAAAACAATTTTGTAAATCTTCAGAAAAGTCTCTACAGATTAATTTAAACCTGTTTATGATTACTTACCACAAGCTGAACAAAGATGTGGTTTTCCGACAACATTTCTAAGTTCACCGGTATGTCTTTTCTTGTGTTTAGTGAGATTCGAACTTTCTGCAAAAGTCTTATGGCAAATATCACAAACGTGCGGTTTGGTCTCCATGTGTATTTTTAAATGCCTTTTTAAAATCCTGGCTTCAGGGAAAACTTTGCCACAGACACCGCAAGTGTGACCTGTTTTTTCTGCAGTTTTTGGAATGTGACTCATCATATGAACCTAGATAAAAAAAAACTCATGTATTTATAATTAAGAAACAATCATTTGTATTTTTGTACCTTTAAGTCAGTGGGGTTGCAAAAGCCTTTTGCACATTCATGACAATAATAATTTTTATCAGATAATATAGCTGTAACGTTATTTTCTTCCAGAGTTTCTACATTTGTTGATAAGGCTAAAGCATCTTCTAAACTACAATGAACATCTTGTGTGCTGTTTTCTGTGATTTCCGTGAAGTGAACCGGTTTCACACTGACAATCATTTGAACATCAGCACCACTCTCTGTCGTATAAGCTAAAATAATAATAATACATTATTAAACGCATAATTTTAAATGTGTAATATTTCTTTTCTACTTACTGAAACTTTCACTATTCAAATCAGCATGTTGCAAAATAACATGTGTATTAGGATCAAGTTGTGCACTAAGATCAAGTCCTTCAATTTCTAATTTAACATTGCTACTAACAAGTACACCGTTGTCCATAGTCTGTTGATACTCCTGGTTTTCAGGAATAGTCTCCAGGACATTTTCAGCGACTTGATCATCTTCTTGCAGTCTTTGATTCACTTCCATTTGAGCTTGCTGTTCGAGCTCATTTTGGGCTTCCACCAGACGTTTCTGGATAAAGAAAACATATAAAAATAAAACAATATATGTAAGAGATATCCATTACCTTACCTGAAAGTCTTCAGAGACATAATTCCTAATAATGTTATCAGATCTTTCGCATTGCTGTTTAAAAGCAAAAGCCCGGCTGATTTGCAGAACACACTGTCGACAAATTAAGTTAGGTAAACCGTCTTCTGTTGAAACCTGAAGCAAAAAAATAATTGTAAGTATAAATTTGTGTGTGCGCAATGTTTATAAAATGTACATACCTTTATATTAGCAAAAGACATTAACATTTCGTCTAAACAAGTTCCAAACAAGGGTTTCATATCTCCTTTTTCCATTAGACATGCTCTGCATATTTTCTCCAGAACCAGCGGTGCATTAATATACATATTAACGTCCATAATGTAATATAATATTAGTTTACAAATTTATATTTGTAATTATTATAATTTTCACATTTCGCTAAACAAAAAATTGTTTTTGACATTCTAACTTTGAGCTGTCAAATTAATCACCCTGAAGTTAGCAACTTAAAAATTCTAATATGACAACCCTAATTTTTGTTTTAAACGTCAAAATTAAAACCACGTTTTAAATTTGAGGTTATAAAACCAAACACATTTATTTATATTATTATTATCATAAATCTTTTACCATGGCACAAGGAAAAATAAAAGTCAAAACAAATGTTCCTTTAAAAAATGCAAAAAATAATAAAAAGCAAAAAGGCAAAGCAACAATGAGACGTCCAAATGCTCCAATTCAACCCAAGAAGAAAAAGTTTGAAGAATCCAGTAAACTAAAACAAATGATTACTAAAACTGTGAATAAGTCTTTAGAAGCTGATATTCGTGCTATTGCTGACGATAATAACAAGATTCTGAGCGAAGCTCAAAAGGCTGTTGTGGCACACAATTCGAGGAAAAATGTTCCAGCTGCCCCTGTCCTAAAGAAATAGTATTAAATTATTTATATATAATGTATGTTGTAATTGTTGTAAATAAAATTGTTGCATTAAGTTACAAAAATGTATTCTCATTTTAATACAACTAAATCAATATTACCTTGAAAATTACAAAAATAAAGCATTCTCTAGAGTCTAGACGTAAGAAGTGGGTCTTCATTCTTTCATTCAAACCAAGTAGTTTGAAGAATTCTGTGAAACAAAACAATTGATTACAAAAACTGTAAATAAGTCTTTAGAAGCTGATATTCGTGCTATTGCTGACGATAATAACAAGATTCTGAGTGAGGCACAAAAGGCTGTTATGGCACACAATTCGAGGAAAAATGTTCCAGCTGCCCCTGTACTAAAGAAATAGTAATAAACTGTTTACATAATAATTAATAAATTATTTATATAATGTATGTTGTAATTGCTGTAAATAAAATTGTTTCATTAAGTTACAAAAATGTATTCTCATTTTAATACACGGCCACCAATATTACTTTAAAAATTACAAAAACAAAGCAGCACCTGTAGGCAGCATAAAAAAGGAGCATTTACTCTTTCATCTAATCCGAGAAAAAATGTTCCATCTGCTCCTATGCTAAATAGGAAATAATAAATTGTTTATATATGTACGTTAAATAGCTGTAAATAAATTTCTTTCATTAATTTACAAAAATGTATTTTCATTTAAATACAACAACCGATATTACTTTTAAAAATACAAAAACTGCATTCATTAGGTTTAAAAAGGGGTCATTTTTTCTTTAATCCAACCCAAGAAAACTAAAACAATTACAAAAACGTTCCAGCTGCTCCTGTGCTAAAGAAAATAGTAAATTATTTATATCTAATGTATGTTGTAATTGCTGTAAATAAATTTGTTTCATTAAATTACAAGAAGGTATTCTCATTTAAATAAAAATGAAAATCCATATAACTTTAATAATTAAATACAATAGATCCTTAAGCTCCTTGTCCAATTCAAGAAGTTAGAAGAATCGAGAAAATTAAAACAAATTATTCCAAATCTGTAAATAAGTATTTAGAAACAGATATCCATGCTCTCTTCTCTGATAAACTAAATAAGAAATAGAATTAACAAATTGTTTATGGATAATATAAGTTAATAGCTGCTACTAAAGTTGTTTCATTAATTTACAATAATATTAGCATAGTTACTGTTATAATTTTTTTATAACACTTATGAAAAAATTAAGTCAAAATATAAAAAATGGTGTAAAGTATCATTATCGATTGCAAATGAAGCAAATTCTGCCCTTAATAAATAACATTAAACCCAGAAACTAATTCTGACTTTTTCCAAGTATTTCTGGATAGAAATATTTTAATTATTAATATTAAAAAAGATACACCCAGCATCCACACAATGCAAAAAAGTGTTTCTGTTTATGTAACAAATTGTTCAAGTTATAAAAAAAATCTCATTCTATACAAACGCATATTCAAAATTACTTTAAATACAAAATTCAACTAGTGGTGTATGGCATCATGCCTTAAAGCCATTAGGCAAAATGCCACTTACACCCAGTTCAGGTCACGTTCATGTCCAAATTGCCTCCGTTTCTGATATTAATCCTTATCGCTGATTTGGAAATAGGCGTAAAATTGTTTATAGTCGTCCGAAGGCGATAAAACCATATTGTTTATACATTTGCAATTGTTATTTTAACAAGTACTAAGTTGTAAACAATTTGTTTAACGGCCCTTTGTTCCGGGTAATTTATTTAATTTATCGATAAAAATTTAAACGTGCCATAAAGATATCACGACGACAGGGAAAAGATTGCGAATTGTAATAATTAGTTTGAGGAAAACAAATTTTTGTCATTTTTAATAAAACTTTTAACATAAAAATAGTCATTTTATTTTTAAATCAGTTGTGATATCCAAAATTTGATTAAACACCATTTATAAGGGTAGTCAGATTAGTATATTTTAAACATTAATTTTACTAGATGAATGCTATAGCATCCACGTCAAGTATTACGCTTCTATTTTACGCAAGATTAGTCATTCTAAATTTTGAACTGCCAAAACAGGGCGATTGCTTTAAAATAATTCAAAATTTCCTAAATAATTCAAAATAAAAAAAAACATTTTTTGCCAGAAGTTTTATTTTCCAAAAATGAAAGTCTTTTAAAACAATTAAAATTTATCAAAAATCTTAAATTCTGTGATAATTAAAAATTTGATTAAACACCATTTATAAGGGTAGTCAGATTAGTATATTTTAAACATTGAATGCTATAGCATGCACGTCAAGTATTACGCTTTTATTTTACGCAAGATTAGTCATTCTAAATTTTGAACTGCCAAAGCAGGGCGATTGCTTTAAAAAAACTAGTGGTGTATGGCATCGTGTCGCAAGGCAACTTGCTGGAACTTCCCGTACCGTAATGAAATATCTGCAAATAATTCTGTGCGACATTCTCACTTATACTGTGCTTATCTTGGCGGCATTTTCGCACTTTTCAATAGTTTTCACAAAATTGGAAATGTGCTAAAGTATAGTCACAGTCTAAACGCACTTGGGTAAACATTTGTACCAGAGTGGCGCTTAGACTGTGCTTAGTCTGGCTAATTTTTTCAATTTTTAATCCAAAATAATCACAAAAATATTTTTTGGAAAAAAAAAATTAGAAACAAAATTTTTTTTCCAAAAGCAATTATTTTGTTGCAACAAGCAGAAAGTTCTTTGAATCATTTAAATCGAACGCTTAGTTCTCTCAAAAACTGCCATTTTTTTTTAACATTTAGCTCTGTATCTCCGAAACCGCTGGGCCTACCTTTGCCAAACTACTAATAATTACTTTTCCCCGTCATTACAAACTGAATGTTTTTTTGGATCATGCAAATCGAATGATCCGTTCTCTCAAAAACTCGATTTCTATTTTATGCACTTTTTGCTCCTTATCTCCGTAACGGCTGGACCTGCCTTTGCCAAAAACTAATCAGCACATCTCCCTATCAATAGGAATCGAATGTTTTTTAAACCATTCAAATCGGTTGATCCGTAAGCCCGAAAACGTGGACGAAAAAATTCGGACATGCAAAACACACACACACAACCATTTAGTTTCTGAAGTATACCCCTTAAAAATGTTCAGAAACCTTCAAAACGTCGAGAAATGCAAAAATTTTCATTTTCGATTTTCGGCTCATTATTATAACTTGCCATACGGGAATTTTTTAAAATCTATTAAACTAATAAAGATAATAAACTGTAAATCACAACTTCAGGATAAATAGTTAAAAGCTTAAGTTAAAGCTGTAATAAAGTTGTATTACCAAGTTATAATAACAATATCTGTTTTTTTTTTTTTCTAAAAACGATGCTTTTATATAATATTTATTTAATACATGAACAGGCACATATTCTCTGACTCGAAGTATAAACATTATTTACATTTTTTTTACTATAAAGTAAAACAGCACTCTTTCATGACATATTTAACAACTTCAATCAATTATTATTTTTTTTAAATATCTGGCCTTCTTACAATCTAATTATAAGGAAAAAAACTCAATAATAAAATTATATTGCAACTGTTGCAAGTGAATTAATTAAAATTATAATGTTAAGTGTTTGCAAAATCATTTGCAATGTAAATGAACTTTTGTATCGGAGCAATGTATGACAAATAATATTTATTATATTGTACGTACGGAGGAGAAGGAGGAACTCTAGTCAATTCAAGTTGGTTCATATATCACTGAAAGGTATAATTTCATTATTCTTGTTATATTAACAATCCTTCAACAAAATTTACTTTAACAAAACTTTTTTCACTTCGCGTTTTAAGCACATTTTATTAATTGGCGTCACCGTAATCGCGGTCTCCAATGTTGATTCTGTCTTGGGCGGCTGTGACGTTGAAGCCGAGGATTCTGCTGTCCACCTTTTGCATTTTGTTCTTCTTCGACTTCTTGCCTTTACCCTGGGGGAAAAAAATAGTGATGATGTATATATATATATATATATATATATATATATATATATATATATATATATATTGGGTTGTCAAATATCTCGCTTCCGCTTTTTTGCTATTGGTTTATAATACAAAAAGGCGGAAGGGAGATATTTGACAACCTAATATATATATATATATATATATATATATATATATATATATATATACATTTTTGAAGTAATGCGACTTGTGAGAAGGTGGCGGTTAAACGTTCAACTAACCAGTTCTAAGAGGTCTTTTAATAATTAATATTGTAACATTCTGTATTATGTAATTTCACTATATATTGCAATTTTGTATATATATTAATTGTTATCCATATTGTAAAATAATTGTATTTTTAAGTTCTCTTGAATGAAATCTGTGGGCTATATATTTAAATAAAATAAATAAATGGACAAGTTTTTTAAAATCTATTTTTTTTCTCCTAACTCTGAAAAAGGACTTGGCAGATCATCTCGTAAAAATATATTGTTTTAGAAAGAAAGAACTCTACTGACGACCAAATTTTAGAAGAAAAAAAACTAGCAAAACCTCGACAAAAGTACTCTACTGACGAGCAAATTGAGAAATTAAGAAAATATTATTTTAGAAAAAAGCTCTACCGACGAGCAAATTTAAAACTATTAAGGTATCATTTAGGAGAAAAAAACTCCACTGACAAGAAAATTCAGAAATTAGCAAAATCTCATTCAAAAACGAACTCTACTAACGAGCAAATTAAAAAATATTATGATATCATTATAAAAAAAAAGTCTACTGATGATCAAATTTTTGAAAAAAAAACTCTATCGACGAGTAAATTCAGAAGATAGCAAAAAATGTCAATAAAAAAGAGACTCTACTGACAAACAAATTCGAAAATATTAAAAAAAAATATCATTTTAGAAAAAAAATAACTCTACTAACGAGCTAATGCAAAAGTTAACAAAATCTCGATAAAGAAACTCTATTGACAAGCAAATTAAAAAAATATTAATATATCATTTTACAAAAAAAAAGCTCATCATTAATCATTTAAAGGTAAGATCATTTTAAAAGCATAAAAAGAACTCTACTGACAAGCAAATTCCGTGCCTTAAGGCAAATTGGTGGAACTTCCCGTACCAAAAATTATTATTTTTTTTAAAAACTATTAACATTTTTGAAAAAAAATTATTTCGAAAAAATTAGATTTTTGAGAAATTATAAATTTGACAAAATATTACTTTTTTTTAAAAAAAATGTTTTCTTTATTTTGACATATTTTGGAAATTCTGAACTTGTTTTCAAAGCAATCGTACTGCTTTAACTGCATAGAGCCGAAATGTCAAAGCGCGCAAGCGCCGCGTCGCCGTCTAACGGATAAACATTGGTACGGAACCCATAGGAATGTAAACAAAATTTATACTTATTGTTAAAATCTCTATAAAATATCTGATAATTTGATGTGCATATGTCTAATGATCATTTTTGACCGCAAAATGACAATTTTTTTTACTTTTTTCATTAGATCTCCGAAACCGCTAGACCCGCCTTCATGAAAACTTGATCAATTCTTCATCTTGTCAATACAAGTAAAATGTTTTTTGAATTATTCAAATCGGTTGATCGGTGTTCCCGAAATCGTCGACGAAAATTTGTATCCGTACACACACACACACACACACACACACACACACATACACGCATACATCAATTTTTTCTAAGGTATGCCAAAATATTCAGAAACCTTTTAAACGTAAATATATATAAAAATTTTCATTTTCAATTTTTTTGCGATTACTATAACTTGCCCTACGGGAAGTTAAAAAAACAAAAAAACACTTCTTCAAAATTTGGTCTCAAGAATGACTTGAAACGCATTTTCTCGCCTTTACAAAGTTAAAGAAAACGCCACTTCTTCGCCACCTTTACAAAGTTAAAGAAAATACCAAGTTGACAAATTAATTTCCACACCATACTACTTATTTTCAATTTCACAACACCAAGAAACAATTGAATTTGTTTTTTTACATCTACTACTACCTCATGAAACTCTGATCCAGGATTAACGGCTGGTGCAGGAGAGCACATATCATCAATGTGTGCAGAAGCCAAACGTTGCTGATTTCGGAAACGGGAACGCTTCTCCAAAAACTGCTTCGAGAAATCAATAGCCTCCTTGCTATCACCTGGAAACACACAACCACAAATACATTAATAATTAATTTAACAAATAATTTCAATTTTATTTTTATGAGTTTAATTTTACGGCGCTGATTCAAGCCTTATTATAACATACCTAGATACGTGCGTATATAGTCCTTAACTTCAAAGGGAGAATCAATATCACTCAAGAAACTGATAAATGTAGGCGCTGAAAGTTGTAAAAATAAAAAAATTCAATTAATTTCTGTTAAATTTTGAAAGACCCGGGATGAAAAGGGATTGGTATCACAGGTAGTGTTAGAACGAAATATCGAGTACTGAGTAAATATCGATCCTTTGCGGTCGATAGTGAGTACTTTTGCTATCGATTTTTTATCTCAATCTATTTGCCAATATCGATTCTTTTCGTCGATAGTACTCGAAAAGAATCGAGACCAACTATTAACACCACTCATTGCCAAATGCAAAGCAATAGTCTCTCTAGGTGGTCATAATTGTTCAAAGAAGTGTCAAAAAATGATCCCGAAGGGTCATTAGTCTCAGAATTTATTGCTCAAAAACCCAAAATCAATATGACCACACTAATGAATAAAGATGTTTATTTATTACTCTTATGTAAAATGAAAAAATAAAATGATTTAAAGAACCTTAAATGTTTTATAAAAACATATTCAACAATCGAAATATAATTATTTCGAATAATAATACTCAACCATTTCAATATACACCTAAGTCTGTTTTTACACGGTCTTTTTGTACACGGTTTTGATATAACACGGTTTGAAAATTGAATATATTTAATTTTTTTACACGATTTTATTCCATTTAGCACGGTTTGAAATTTTATGTACTTAAATTTTTTTTGTCAAATTTAATTTTTGCGAAGTATGTTCATATCACAAAAAAATATAGCGAATTATGATGACGACAGCAATTAAATTTATGTTGTTGTATTTATGATTATCACTTATTCTATTTTATTTTATTTTTTACCTTAAAAATTGAATAACCTATTCTTTTCGTTCACGACATAGTTTTTTAGTTCCTGAACTTGCCTTACATTTAATTTATATTACTTTTAAGATTAGAGTGCATATATTTTTTATTATTAATTACTATGCTTGTGAAAATAAGCATTATATATTTGATTTAATAAAATAAACATGAATTCTTGTTCTTAAAAATTCTTGTTTTTCACTAATTTTAATAGGTTTTAGAGATTAGGAACAAATCATCCATTTTTGTATAAGATCAATGTCTTTTTTTACACGTTTTTTTTTACACGGCTTCTTCTGGAACCAATCTACCGTGTAAAAACAGACTTAGATGTATTAGTATTTTGCGTAAAAAAGAATCGAAATAGAATTATTTCAAATAATAATATTCATCAATTTCAATATATTAGTATTTTGTGTTTATTATATTTTAAAATATAAATATATATTTTCTATATATAAGGTTGTCAAATATCTCCCTTCCGCCTTTTTGTATTATAAACCAAGAGCAAAAAAGCGGAAGGGAGATATTTGACAACCTAATATACAGAAATGGATGAGTATTTTTAATTGAAACAATTATATTTCGATTCTTTTTTACGCAAAATACTCATGTATTGAAATTTTTGAATATCAGCATGCAAACATATGGGTTTGAGTTTCTCGGAACCATTTAAACTTTAAATCCCATCGCTCCAAAGAGATGTTTTTCAAGTGCCGAAATATTATTTTGACCGTCATTAAACTGAATGTTTATTGCTTTCCAAAGAGCTTCATATCGCACTTTTATGTAAACATGTAACGGCTTTTTAAAGTTGCATGCTCGCTAAAATTATTCATATAAAAATATTCAACAATTATAAAATATTATTTTACTTAAAAATATTAAAAATATTATTGTACTTAAAAATACTTAAAAATGAATACAATTGCATTTTGAATATAGTATCAGATTATTATATTGTTAACTTCCCGTAGGGTAAGTTATAGTAATCGCAAAAAAATCGAAAATGAAAATTTTTATATATCTTTACGTTTCAGAAGTTTCTGAATATTTTGGCATACCTTAGAAAAAATGGATGTATGTGTGTGTGTGTGTGCGTAGTGTGCGGATACAAATTTTCGTTGACGATTTCGGGAACACGGATGAAGCAATTTGAATAATTTAAAAAACATTCGATCCGTATTGATAAGGAGACGTGCTAATTAGTTTTTGGCGGAGGTAGGTCTAGCCGTTCCGAAGATACGGGGCAAAAAGTGCCAAAAACGGTACCTCAGTTTTTAATAGAACGGAGCGTCCGATTTTAATAATTCAAAAAACATTTTACTTGTATTGACAAGATGAAGATTTGATCAAATTTTTATAAGGGCAGGTTTAGCGGTTTCGGAGATATAACGAAAAAAGTAAAAAAAAAATGCCATTTGGCGGTCAAAAATGATCATTTGACATACGTGGTCTGTTCAAAAAGTACCCGGAATTTTCGTTTTTTCAAAAAAATATTTATTTATTCGTCTACATTAATGTGGTCCCCTTCAAAGTAGTCCCCCCCAGATATAATACACTTATGCCAGCGTTTTTTCCAATTTTCGAAGCACCCTTGATATTCACTTTTTGATATGTCCTTGAGCACTCTCAGCGATTTTCTTCAATCGAGGAAAACCGCCGTCCTTTCATGGGTCTCTTCAACTTTGGGAATAGGAAAAAGTCACACGGAGCCATATCTGGTGAATTTTTGCACTTTGTTACACTTTATTTCATTTTTTACGCAAAATTTAATACAAATTCTTTGACTTTTCAATTCTTCCATTGTAAAAATCGCCGAGCTCAGAAAAACACGTCGAACCTTAGCGACTACCACAGACAAAGTAAACAGTGAATATAGCTGAAAATTTCATCATACTTTAGGGGCATGTATACCAACACAATAAAATAAAAAATTTTGACAATCAGACACTCCAGACCCGCGAAATTTAATTATTAGTAATTCCGGGTACTTTTTGAACAGACCACGTATGCACATCAAATTATCAGATTATAGAGGTTTTAACAATAAGTATAAATTTTGTTTACATTCCTATGGGTTCCGTACCAATGTTTACCCGTTAGACAGCGACGCGACGCTTACGCGTTTTATATTTTGTCTCTATGCATTTAAAGCAGTACGATTGCTTTGAAAAAAAGTTCAGATCTTCCAACATATGTCATAATAAAGAAAACATTTTTTTTTCAAAAAAAAAAAAGATTTAAAAAAAAAATATTTAAATAATTTTTTTTTCAATTTTTTTTTTCAAAAAAAAATAATTTTTTGTCCAATTTATAGTTTCTCAAAAATCTTATTTTTTCAAAGTAGTTTTTTTTCAAAAATGTTAATCGTTTTAAAAAAAAATAATAATTTTTGGTACGGGAAGTTCCAGCAATTTGCCTTAAGGCACGATGCCCTAATTGCCTTAAGACAGAATTCCATTTACAGCTAGTTTTAATCAAAAATACTCAACTATTATAACTTGTATTTTTTTTTTAAAAAGATAGAATTTGAAATTAGTATTGAAAAATTACTGTTAACATTTTACAATATTGAAAATGATTCTGACTTAACACATCAGATACAAGCAACAGAATTCATTCTAATATTGTGATATGATATTTAATGAGTTTTAGATCTTTCTTGCACTTATGTTTGATTTTGATGAAAAGTACTCAAAATTCGCTATTGAGTACTATCGATACTTTCGCCACGATTTTTGTTTGGCATCGATATTTTGATTAGATACTTTTTAAAGTACTCAATATCGATCTTTTGCCTCGATACTTCTAACACTAATCACAGGAACGTAGGAAGGAACACAACATGCAGCACCCTAAACCAGAAACCTACCTAAACACAATTTTAAATAAATAAATAAAAATTTCACTTACCGTCGACGGTGCTGTTTATGGAGGACATAGCTTTGGTACACCAGTTGGTAAATTCGTCTTTGTCATTATTCTTCTTTTTCTTGTTATTAGAATTGATGTTATTATTGACAGCGGTGTTCTTGTCTTGCTTCGATGGCACAGAGTTCGTCTTCTGGTTACCATTGTGATTGACGTGATTGGCAACAGCATTGACCTTATTTACAGATTGGTTTTTGGGGCTATTTTGTTTGCCGTTGGACTTGGCTTGGTTTTTGTTTTGGGCAGCATTCACAGTTGTTGGGGGTTCATCCCAGAAACCTTAAAATAATAAACCAAGGGGTAAGTAAATGTAATTTTGAACCAAATTTGGTTTAGTGATTAATTTTTATACCGGCATTGGAGCTCCAAGCAGTTGATGACCAATTCAGAGATGAAGCACTCGACCAAATGCTAGGGCTTTGTTGAATCACAACTGGTGATTCACGTTCTCGTTGCTGGGCTGCTAAACGATCAGCAGCTTGTTGCTATAAACACCCAAATCACATTTACATTTAGTTACAAAAACCTAAAAACAACCAATAGTTTCTTAACATTTACCTTGGCCATCTCTTCAGCTTGAATTTCTGCCAAAGACTTAACTTTGCCAGAATTCTGTGGTTTCTGGTTAGCCCATTTCAATTGCATTGCAGAACGCTCATTTGCAGCCGCCAACTCCTAGGAAAATAATAAATAAAAATTGACTGACAATGGAAATAAGAAGTTCCGATTAAAAAGATTAATATTACATTACATTATTATTATTATAAAATTTATTATTTAAAACGTTACATTAAAAATAAAATGAATAATAATATTAATAAAGTGGATAAAGTTTCGAATTGTAAATAAAAGATGGACAGAGAGTATTTTTGCAGTTTTTGTAATATATTTTAAAATTTTGTTGAAAAATATAGTCATTATAATACATCTTTAAAATGCTATGAAAATTCTCTTTATGATGAACAGGTAACACAAGTGTTAGACATTTTATCCAGTTTTTGCAAAATGTCATAAAATTTGGTTTGCAAATCTAAAAAGCTAATTCTCTAGAATACTTTTAAACTATAATATCGTGTCGCTTTTATTGAAATATTGAAAATAAATACCTAAACTTCGACAATAGTTTCGACATTTTATTGAACCATTAAAGACATTTGGTTGATTTTTGCAAAATATCTCAAATATTTGTTAAGAAACTTATATTTTTCTGTAATTCAATTAAAAGCTAACAAAATCCTCTAGAACACTGTTAAGCTATAATATCGTGTTGCTTCTTTTGAAATATGAAAAATAAATACCTAAACATTGACAATAGTTTAGTAAGAGAAGCAGCAAAAGACATTTCACTAGTTTTTGCTGATATCTCTAATATTTGGCAAAAAACTTATATATTACTGTATATCAATTAAAAGCTAACTAAATCATCTATGATGCCATTTAACAACAAATGTTGCCTTATTAAAATTAGGTAAAATTTTCAACTTTCAAGTTTAATATATAAAACGGGAAATAGAACATATTGTCAGTTTTTACAAAATATCTTGAAATTTTCTTAAGAAACATGCAAGTTATACATAATAAAAAAGCTAATAAAATTCACTATAATATTTTTAAATAATAATATCGTGCCACTCTTGTTGAGATATTTGAAATAAATACGTAATCTTTGACTTTGAACCAAAAAAAAGGATTCTACTGACGATCAAATTTCAGAAAATACAACTCTACTTCATGAACAAATTCAGAAATTAGCAGAATATCAATAAAAAAAAAACTCTACTGACGAGCAAATTCAGATATCAGCAAAATTTAGAAACTATTTAAAAAATTTCATTAAGGGAAAAAACGAGCTCTACCGACAACCAACCAAATTCTGTAGAAAAATATTTAAATGTTATATTAGAGAAAAAAAATGAAATTAAAATAAAGTTCAAACTCAGAAAAAGAACTCTACTGACTAGGAAATTTAGAAAAAAAGCCTAAAAATTCTTACCGAAGTCAAATTTCGGTCACACATATTTATACTAACTTTATTGACGTACGATTCAGTAAAAAAAAACATTTGCCAGCTTTTCAAAAATATCTTTAAACTTTGTTAAACAATATAAATTGTTCGACATAATAAAAAAAGCTATGTTAATATTATAAAAAATACAGTAAATTATATCCATACATTTTCTCTATACTCATATATGTTAAAGATTTTGAAAACGATCTTATTTGCAAATTTAATTTAAAAACACACATTACTAAATAGTATAAAATACCCAATAAACTAGTTGGGCGCTAAATGTTAAAAAAATGGCAGTTTTTGAGAGAACTAAGCATCCGATTTAATTGATTCAAAGAACTTTCTGCTTGTTTCAACAAAATAATTTGCTTTTGGAAAAAAAATTTTGTTTCTAGTTTTTTTTTCAAAAAATATTTTTGTAATTTTGGATTAAAAATTCAAAAAATTACCCAAGCTAAGCACAGTCTAAGCGCCACTCTGGTACAAATGTTTACCCAAGTGCGTTTAGACTGTTTATGTACTGGAGCACTTTTCGAATTTTGTGAAAACGAAAACTATTGAAAAATGTGAAAATGCCGCCAAGCTAAGCACAGTATAAGTGAAAATGTCGCACAGAATTATTTGCAAATGCGTTTAGACTGTGACTATACGGGACCACTTTTTCAATTTTGTGTAAATTAGGCAACTATTTTTTTTTTTTGAAATTGAATTCGAAATGAAATGACGATTGTTAATGTTATGAAAATAAATTGATTTATTTATAATTTACATTTGAGTTGGTCAGATAAAACGTTTAAAATTTCTCGAATATTTCATTACGGTATGGGAAGTTCAAGCAATTTGCCTTAAGGCACGATGCCATGCGCCCCACTAGTTAATTTGTTTTATAATATAAAATAGCAGAATTTTTTTGTAAGTATCTTAAAACTTTGCTAAAAAATATATCTATTATTATATAATATAAGATTATTAATTTACCTGCTCCCTGAGCAAAGCCGCCTGCTGGCGCATAGCCAATTGCTGCGCTTGCTGTTCCTTAAGTTGTTCGGCCTTCTTTTCCTTTTCAAGTCTCTGAATCTCGGCAAGGCTCAGGCTGCTCACAGAATTCGGTGATGATTCCGTTGAAGGCCTCCATGGTGCTGATTTGTTGCTGCTTGCCATAGCAGCAGCTGCTGCGGCGGCGGCGGCAGCTTGCTGCTGCTGTTGCAACTAAAAGAAAGAAAAAGGAATTATAAAAGTATGATTTTTATTTATTACTAGCTGACATGGCAAACGCTGTTTTGCTAAGTAAGGTATATTCTAAACAATTTCTAGAGAATCAAAAATATTAATACTTTCTGTGTATAAGGATGTGTTGTTTGAATGCTATATACATACAATGAGGTATTATCACAACAATAAACCCCATTAGTTTGTCTATAAGTTGTCAATACAATCAAACTGGAAGTTTTATACACTTTCTATAGAAAACATAGTATAATCCATCCAAGTCTTTTCTGGTCTTTCGACTTATTGATTAAGTTTCAAATTTTTCAGATTCTTTTTGGATTCTGGATTTTGTGTATAATTGTAAATAATACTACTGAACTTATACAAAATGTTCAAATTTCTGCGAGGAGAGATATAAAATGAATTAAGTATTTCTTCTTTGACCTGCTTTTTGAAAAGTTTCAAGTAACATTCAATGAATTAAAGTAAATTTAATAAAAAGTATATATGTAGAGCAGGGCGAGGCACAAAGGTCCAATTTGACTTTGAGCAAATATAAACTATATTGTGAAAACCATAACAATTATATCACAACAAATGACACATATTAAACAAACAATCATCTGACTACGTTCAGTAAAACTGCCTTCTACTTCATCATTGTAGAAATGTGCTTTTTTGATGTCCTTCAAAAATTTGTTATCTATACCTTTTTATCCCATAGACGGGGTAACTTGGAACGGCCAGATGGCAAACTGGTCTAATGTCTTATTTTAATTTTATAGGTATTTTACAAAATAATTATATTTTTAACTAATGCTAAAAAAACTACCAACGGAAGAAAATACTTTTATTATGAATTTTCGAAGATTACCGTTTATCTCCCGATAGCAAAGTCATAAGAATCAAGATTATAGCTGGTTATACATCTTTTTCCCTCTACTTTCAAATATTGTTTTTAAACAATGCTTAACTTTACTGGTTTTTAACACATCGGTGGTAGACCTTTTGATAAATTCTGGGAAATTATAACTAGGAAAATGTTATTCGACAAAATGTCCATTTGATCGTTACCAAATTTAGGTTCAAAATTGAAATAACATAAATAAAAAAATAATATAACCTAGAAAATGTTTTATAAATACCAATGTAATTACACAAATGATATCTTTCAGAGCACCGTGTTTGAGAAAAATATGCCAAACAGTACATTTTCATATTAACATTTCAAAAAAGTTGATATTGTTGAGTTTGTAGTAACACTTGCGGCCCTATTACATGATTTTACTGAATTGCAAATTGATAGCTTTTTTGTAAGAAACATGTGTGATTTTATATTTAGATATTAAGAAATAACATACTAAAATTTTGTAACTCTAGTATAATGTTTTATATTTTTAAATATTTTTCAAAATACTCATCAAATCGTTGATTTGCAACTACATATTGCAAGAGTGCATATTTTACAAAATTGAACATTTATAGTTTTTGTTAGAAACATATGTGATTTTATATTTTTATAATTGAGTACATATATTAGGTGATAACATACTAAAATTTTATAGCTCTAGTATAATATTGTATATTTTGAAAACATTTTTCAAAAGTGCTTCTCATATCATATCCAACCGTCGTTTCGCAACTAATATAAATAGAGTATGCAAGTGTGTATTGCAATTTTTTAGTTTATTCTGTTAGAAACATATTTGATTTTATATTTTTATAATTCAGTACACACATTAAGAAATAAAATACTATAATTTCATAACTGTATTACAACGCTTTATATTTTTAAAAATATATTTTAAGCCGTCAATTTGTTTACGTCAAAACGTTTACTAACGTTCATGTACGAACAAAACTACTTACTTCAATTTAATCATTATTAAATAATATTCACGTAAAACATCCTATTAAACGTAATTGAACATCATCTGTCAAAAATGTTTGACATTTCACGTATTAGCCACCGTCTATTGTTTTATTCAAATTACGCTTCTACAAAAATTTTCAAATTAAGAATGTAAAGTTTCTTACTAGCCGTTTTCGACTTTTACCGAATCATTAGATCGAGTGCTCCATTTTTATATATAAGATTAATTAATAAGTCTCAATCCTTACTTGTTGTTGCTTCTTGGCTTCGGCCGCAGCAGCCTTCTGCCTCTCCTTTTCCCTTTCCTTCTCGCGTTCTCTCTCCTCCTCAAGTTGTCTCTGTCTCGCTTCCTCCTTGGCCTTCTCCTGCTCCGCCTCCTGCTTCTTCTTAATACTCATTTCGGCTTCCTGCTTCCTCTTTAGCTCCGCCTCTTTCCTCTCCTCCTTCAGCCTTCGCTTCTCCTCCAATTCTCGCAGGCGCTTCTCTTCGGCTTCCCGTTTCGCTTTGGCTTCCTGCTCCTTCTTTTCGCGTTGCTCCTGCTCCTGCTGCTGTTTCTTTTGCTGTTCGGCCAGTTGCTGCTTGCGCTTTTGCTCGGCCTTTTCCTTCTCCTAAATAAAGGACATAAATAGTAATAGAATGTTAACCTAGGTGTAGGGCTTACAATACCGATATTCCGTGATCCTGGACGACTTTTGTCCGGTATTCAATACCAGTATTGATATAAAAATACCGGTATTTCGGGATTACCAGAATTTGGTTAAAAATTGAACTTACGCAATACACCTACACAAATTTTACATTGTTTATGTGTATTGCCGACTCAATTCAGCCGAGTATTGAATTGTTAACTTCCCGTAGGGCAAGTTATAGTAATTGCAAAAAAATGGAAAATGAAAATTTTTATATATCTTTACGTTTCAGAGGTTTCTGAATATTTTGTCATACCTTAGACAAAATGGATGTATGTGTGTGTGTGTGCGTGTGCGTATGTGTGTCCGGATACAAATTTTCGTCGACGATTTCGGGAACACGGATGAAGCGATTTGAATAATTCAAAAAACATTCGATTCTTATTGATAAGGAAACGTGCTGATTAATTTTGGCGAAGGCAGGTCTAGCCGTTCCGAAGATACGGGGCAAAAAGTGCCGAAAACGATAACTCAGTTTTTAAAGAAAACCGAGCGTCCGAATTGAATAATTCAAAAAACATTTTACTTGTATTGACAAGATGAAGAATTGATTAAATTTTCATGAAGCAGGTTTAGCGGTTTCAGAGATCTAATGAAAGAAGTAAAAAAAAATGCCATTCGGTGGTTAAAAATGATCATTAGACATATGCACATAAAATTATCAGATATTTTATAGACATTTTAACAATAAGTATATTTTTTTTTACATTTCTATGGTTTCCGTACCAATGCTTATGCGTTAGACGGAGCGTGGCACTTGCGCACTTTGACATTTCGTCTCTATGCAGTTCAAGCAGTACGATTGCTTTGAAAAAAAAGTTCAGAATTTCCAAAATATGTCAAAATAAAGAAAACATTTTTCTTTTCAAAAAATTTGTTGTCAAAAAAATTTTTTGTTTTTTTAAAAAAAGTAATTTTTTTTTTCAAAAAGAAGTAATTTTTTGTCAAATTTATAGTTTCTCAAAAATCTATTTTTTTCGAAGTAATTTTTTTTTAAAAATGTTAATCGTTTTTAAAAAAATAATAATTTTTGGTACGGGAAGTTCCAGCAATTTGCCTTAAGGCACGATGCCTTAATTGCCTTAAGACAGAATTCCACTTACAGCTAGTTTATACATTAGATACGATAACTACCTAATGAATAGAACCCATTTATAAAAATTATTATTCGTCCACGTGCATTGTCCTCTTATCTTATTTATAACTAATTGGTATTGGTATTTTGCCTTGAGGCAAGTTACATGAACTTCCCGATATGTGTAATTAATCGACTTGATCAATAAAAAACAAATTAATTTATGAGTGATTAGAAGTAAACGAACGAACACGTTAACTCGGAGTATTTTCTAAAAGCAAATTTTCAAGATTAATAATTTTTTATAATTGAGCCAGTTTTTTGTAGGACTTTAATTGTTTAGTAGTATGTTCATTAAGACCAAGTACTCTATCGTTATACCAAGTAAATCGTCTAATTTAAATTTTAACAAACGTCAAAAAAACTACTCATTTTCTCAAACTTTGATAAATTTTTAAAATTAAACTAATTGTCGTAAGGCCGTAATATTGTAGTAAGTTCTATAAGACCATGATATATATCGCCAAAAAAAGTTCCATTAAAATCGGCTCCAATTTTTTTTTTCAACAGTTAATTACAAGAAAACGGCTCGGTAGATTTTCACCTAAAACTAATCAGTATCATTCTCAACTAATATCTTTCAAACAGTTTTTGATTTTTCAAAATCAATTCGGTAGTATGAGGTTAAATGTAGGCGAAAAGTTTAACACTTTTTTCAAATTACAAAGAAACGGCTGGGCATATCGTCGCACGATAGTCCTCATTGAGATACATCAAATGGCTTTTGAATTTCTGAAATCGGTTCAGGAGTTTTTGAGAAAACGTCGATCAAGGATTTAATTTTGACAAATGCCAAAAAAAAAACGATACTAATTTTTGCAAACTTTGACGAATTTTTAAAGCTAAACTCATTGTCGTAGGGCCGTAATATTTTAGTATGATCTAGAAGACTATGGTATCTATCGCCAAAAAAATAATAATAAAAATCATCGAAAAAAACTTTTTTAACACTTTATTACAAGAAAACGGCCCAACCAATTTCTACCAAAAACTAATCAGGTCGATTCCCAACCAATATTTTTCGAACGGTTTTTGAATTTTTAAAATCAGTTCAGAATTGCGCGCTGAAACATTGAACATTTTTACACTTTCACAAAGAAAACTGCTAATCACAAAGAAACGGCTTGGCCGATCATTGCGCGAAACTGATAAACGTGTTAGTCCTTATGGAGTTTCATCACATGGCTTTTTAAATTTTTGTTTTCCAGAAAACGTCAAAAAATATCGAAAAATCGAAATACGCGCATGCACACAGAATTGACAGGTCGACAAAACAAAATTAGCAAATCGGATTTTTCCGCAAAAACAAACTGTTCTTTCGAAAAGTTTCTAAATTCTAACATTCTTAACCCTTACCTCGGCTTCTTTCTTCGCCTTAGCCTTTTCCTCCAATTCCTGCTGTTGCTTTTTGGCCTTTTCCTTTTCCTTCTCCTTATTTTTCAAAGCTTGCTGTTGAGCCTCTTCGATCTGTCGTTTTTGCTCCTTTTCACGGATCTCTTTGTCCTCAGCCTCTTTACGCTGCCTCAACTGCTCCTCTAGAATCTGCTGTTCTGTCTTCATTTCTGGCTTTGTAATCTGACAATAAAAAAATGTCATGATAAAAAAATTGTAGATGATGTAGGATACAAAACATAATAATAATAGATTAATTAATAACAAGTTGAATCAATCTCACAGTTTGTCATATTGAATGTCAACATCAGATGTCAAATCTTATAAAATATTTTATAAATATCGTCTTTAAAAAACAAATTAAAAAATATTGTATTTTTAAAATTATTACAGGATCGACTTCAGGATACTGTTTAATGTTATGGAAATGGTGCCATCTTATATTTGTTTTCCTGCTGTTCCAGTGAATTAATTTCATATTCAAACAAAAGATTTTTACTGTGACAGCCAAAAAGTGACATGCACTGTCAATTGTTCAAACTGATTTAATTTTGAACTGACCGGCATGTCCCACATAGATCCTATGCTGCTGGCAGCAGTCCAACTCGGGTTCCAACTTGCAGCAGGTGCTTCACTCGTCTGTGGCTTGCTGTTTGCAGCTTTCGAAAAGAATTGTTTGAACATGGATGTTATATCTTCGCCTTTATGCTGATCTGAAGTCTGACTGAGCAGAGACTCCGGGGTACTGATGGGCGGTGGAATGTTCTGATTTAAAGCCTGGAAAGAATAAATTTATTAACTACTAACAGCCTTAAGGCAAAGTGTTAAAAGTTTGAGTTTTTGATCAAGATTTTTAGACCCCTTTTCCTCTTTATGATACTTGGTGATATTTAAAATTACCGCCCTACCCCATAAAAAATTACGTGTATTTTTAGTTGCGAGAAGAAACTGTATTTTTTTTTAAAAACACATGAATTTAAAAAAAAAATCAGGTAACAAATAGATACACGTTATATCTTACTATACCCATCTCTCCCCCAACGTTATATTTCGTGATTTTTTTGTCAAACCCTCCCTCTTCTGTAAGAACCTCAATAAAAAAAATATTTTTTTTTATCTTCTATATATATAAAAATAAGTCAGTTTTTCCTTCCTGACGAAATAACTCCAGAATGCACAAACCGACTTCGACAATTTTACATTAGTTGGAAAGGTCTCGGGCTCCGCAAGGTTTATAGCTAAGAAAATTAGTTGTGCATGGCATCGTGCCTTAATGCAAGCTGCTGGAACTTCACGCACCGTAAATAAAAATTCGAGTAATGACATTAGTGAGAATTGTCAGAATTATGCTTGGTTAAGTCAACGAGCAATTCTTGCCGCAAAGAATAATGATGTACACGCCCTGAATTTCACCATTCAATCAAAAATTGCTGGCGATTTGGTGACATACCAATGATTCTGACTGGTTTTCCGTTTGACTTCAAACGATTGCAATATCCAGTTCGCCTTGCGTTCGCAATAACAAGTTGCAAAGCCAATCGCTTAGTGTTTGCGGGATAAATTTCAAATAGATTATTTAGAAAATCATTGTTTTTTACATGGGCAGTTATACGTTGCCTGTTCACGAGTTGGAAAACCATCCGCTTTGTTTGTGTTAACGTCAGACCAAAAAACAAAAAATGTAGTTTACCAAAGAGCACTTCAATGAAACGGATTCACTTTCATTTACTTAGAGAAGTTCAACTAAAAAACACTTCATTTTTGTAATCGAAGTAAGTTCATTACTGTTGTATAATAAAATCAAATTTTTCCTTTTCAAATATAAAACATACAAAAAATTTCTTCATCTTTCTCACGAATCCATCTGGTGGCGAAACGGAGTTCGTCGGGTTTGCTAGTATATATATATTTTTTTTGAAAACTGAACAACTTACCTTTCTTTGCTAACTTTGAAATTTATTGAAAATTATGAAAACTAAATAATTTCGAAAATTTTGCAACCGAAGACATGCCTTCCCCAAAAACTAAACATTTCTTATCACCGTCAACAAAATCAAAATGTTTTTTGAACAATTCTAATTGTATGATCCGTTCTTTCAAAAACCGCATGACTCCGAAACCACTACACCTGCCTGACCAAAAATTTAGCCAATTTTTCATTCCGTCAACACGAATCGAATGTCTTTTGTATCATTCGAATCGGACGCTCCGTTATCTCAACGACTGAAAAAGCATTTTTGACTCTTTTGTGGCTTCGAATTAGCTGAATCTGCCTTTGCCAAAAACTAATCAGTATATCTCTTCATCAATAGAAATTGAATATTTTTTTAATTTCCCGTAGTAAGTTATAGTAATCGCAAAAAAAACGGAAATGAAATTTTTTATATATCTTTACGTTTCAGAGGTTTCTGAACATTTTGGCATACTTTAGAAATAATGGATGTATGTGTGTGTGTGCGGATACAAATTTTCGTCGACGATTTCGGGAACACCAATTAACCGATTTGAATAATTAAAAAATCATTCCAATCATTTTGATAAGACGTGCTGGTTAGTTTTTGGCGAAGGTAGGTCTAACCGTTTTGGAGATACGGGGCAAAAGGTGCCAAAAACTAACTCAATTTTTAAGAGAACGGAGCGTCCAATTTTAATAATTAAAAAATCCTTTTACTTGTATTGACAAGATGAAGAACTGATTAAATTTTTGGGAAGGCAGGTTTAGAAGTTTCGGAGATTTAGTAATAAAAGTAAAAAAAAATGGCAGTTGGCGGTCAAAAATTTATCATTAGACAAATGCACATCAAATTATCAGATATTTAATGGAGATTTTAATAATGTGTATCAATTTTGTTCACATTTCTATGGGTTCCGTGACATCGTCTGTCCTAGAAGGCGACGCGGCGCTTACGCGCTTCGATAATTCGTCTCTATGAAAAATTTCTAAAATATTTTAAAATAGTAACATTTTTTTCCAAAAGTTTTATTTCCCAAAAATGTCTCTTCAAAAATTTAAAATTTCTCAAAAATCAATTTTCGAGAAATATCTCATAAAAAGTTCTCAAATTATATTTGCATGAATTGTAAAAATAATTCACATTTTTTCAGATAAACATTTTTTTTTAATGCTTAGCACTTATAGATAACTTGTATAAATGTAAATAATACATGAAATATTAAAAATTAATTTAAAAAAAAATTCTAAACGCATTATTTTTTTCACTACGCAGTCATTTTGACTGTTTTAATTTAATTTAATTCGTCTTTGATAAAAAAAAAAAATTATTCATTTTTCATTTTTTTAATCTTGATCTTAATTTAATCTTTTTTAATTAACTTCCCGAAGGAGAAGTTTATGTTTTCATCAAGAAACCCGATTCGCTAATTGTATGTTTTCTCGACGTTTCAAACCATTCTGAATCGAATGAGACCAAATTTGGAAAAAGTATGTGTGTGTGTGTGTGTATGTGAACAGAATTTTTAATTTTTGGTACGGGAAGTTCCAGCAATTTGCCTTAAGGCATGATGTCATACACCACTAGTTTAATCATTCAAATCGGTTGATCCGTGCTCTCGAAGTCGCGAACGAAAATTTGTATCTTTATCGAAAATGTAATAATACAACAATGACAATATATTTTTTCTAAAAGTATTAAAACAAAAAAAAATCTTTCTATTTACCTGGTGATGCAAAGTTGAAGCTGTGATATGATTCGAGGAGAGATTATTAAGATGGTTCATTGCACTAGGCATTGGGAATCCAGCCACTATATGTCCCAGCGCTGACGGCTTTGTTGGATCAAGTAATGGGGGCACCTGAGAGATGAGGTTACCAGTTTGTTTCGTCTGCAATAAAAAAAAAATAGATTAGTAAAACAAAACATAACATTTTGTATTATATTTTATTTATTTATTTTGAATATATAGCCCACAGATTTCTTCCAAAAGGACTCAAAAAATACAATTAATTTACATAATGAATAACAATTAAAATATATACAAAATTACAATATATAGTTATTAACATAAAATGCTTGACATAAAATTACATATAATGCAGAATGTAACAATATTATTTATAAACATAATAAGATAAAATAATGAGATATTTGAAAAGAAAATAAAAAGGTTAACTTGTGCAGATGGAGATTATTCGATTATTAGGTGAAGTGTTGTGAATATCTATTTCATTATTAAAGTTAAAGTTAGAGGACATAAGTAAAATATGCGAATTTAAGAGAGAATTAGATTTACGAGTAGAGTATGATAATTGAAAAATAATTGTGAACGCGTAGATAGCCTTGGAACATTAAAGGATAGTTGGTTAAGAATAAGAGGACAGTCTATAGAATTATTGCAAAGTTTAAATAAGAACATAATTGTACAGATAAATCGACGTGAGGCAAAAGAATGAATACCAAATTCTTTTAATAAAGTGTTGTGGTCAAAGCCACGTTCAGGGTAAATTTTATATGTTTTATAATGAAGATATTTCAGAAATTTTCGCACCTTCAGAACCTTCTCTATCGCATCAGAGTTGTTGATTTGATGAGGATACCAAATAATAGAACCATATTCTAATTTTGAACGTACAATAGAATAGTACATGCTAAAAACTGCATTGTTAGAATTGAATTCTCAGTATCAAACCTGAAGATTTATGTGCTCTATTACAAATATCATTTATATGATCTGTGAAAAACAAACCAGAATCAAATAGAACTCCTAAATCTGAAATTTTATTACATCTATCAATGCTGGTGTTAGAAACTTTATAATCAAAATGTATTGGAACGCGCTTATGTGAAAAACTAAGAATCTTGCACTTTGATATATTTAAATGTAATTTGTTCTAGACACACCAAGAGTGGAAAAAGTCAAGTTGAGACTGAAATAATAAGCAGTCATCAATAGAATTTATTCTGAGATATAGTTTGAGATCATCTGCAAATAATAAATGTGGACAGCTAATAATATCAGATATGTCATTAATAAAAATAATAAATAGTAGTGGACCAAGAATGGATCCCTGAGGAACACCTGAACTAATATTTTTCAATATTGCTCAAGAAACCATTAAGGTAGACAAACTGTTTACGATTATGAAGATAAAACCAATATATATATATATATATATATATATATATACAGTAGAATCCGATTAGTATAACGCCGGATATATTGACAACCGCTTATTATGACGTAATCGCACTAGGAAGTTTGGCTTCCATATGAAATTCCTTAAAAAAACAGCTGTCTAGTCGAATATATTGACATCGCTTACATTGACATGTAGCTTATAATGACCCATTTTTACAAAAAATTATGTCCAATTATAATGACCAACATGATTTTACATGATGTGGCCAAGTCTATGAAAGCAATTGCTATGTCTTTTGTGCACAATAGCACCAGGGACTGCTTTTACAATAAAATTATGTAAAGAAATCAACCCAAAATTACTCATTACTTACATTTAAAAATCACATTTGTATGTTTATGGGCAGGGTAGATCAATTATTAACGATCCACCACGGATATCTCGTAAACAAATAAAATTAGATTTTTTTTAACAAAAATATTTGATAGTAGAGGGCAAAAAATGTATAAATTCATAGCCATCACATTTATTCTTATGACTTTGCTATCAGAAGATAAGCAGCACATGAGTGGGATAAAAATGACCAGCAGAACCTTTACTTTGGCAAAGGTGTAAGCAATAAAATAGTAAGGTTTTAAAAAAAAAACAAATTTACAAGAGATTAATTAAATAAATTGTTGTTCTGGCTCATCTAATGAATATTTCTGACCAATAGCAGATCAATGTAATATACCGTATTATAATCTTTGTAACAAATGTACCCACAGAATTAATATTGTGCATTGGTTCAATAATGTAGCATAAAATCCCTTTAAAATTTAATAGAAGAAATTACATCTGTTTGCCCCCTGGTTGTCATTTAAAAAAATTGCAAAATGAATAATATTTATATAATTAGGAATTATGTGAATTTTTTTCTGTACATAGTTCGATAGATGCTTGTTTGATGTGTGTTATGTGTTGCAAGGTTGTTCATTGGGTTTAGACAGTATAATTACTGACAGTCAAATTGGACCTTTGTGCCCCGCCCTACCCTATGTCAATTTTATTTTATATTAAATTTTAATACATGCCATTTTTATTTTTAATTAAAATGTATGTATAGGTTTTCTTCAGTATGCTTTGTATGACGACCGGTTAGTATGACGAGATTTCGTTGTCCCTTGGATGTCATACTAAGCGGATTCTACTGTATATATATATATATATATATATATATATATATATCAATTACCTGTTGCATTTGAGAAATCAACTGTAACAAAGGATTATGCTGAGGAACCGTTGTAGGCTGTGTTAAAGGTATAGAAGGCGGAACTATTCCCAAACCAGCAGGCACATTAGGTGTTGCAAAAGCATCAGGGAATGGCTGAAATAGATACATAATCATAAAACAACTGTTCTGCAAACAGTGCTTATTATATCATATTATATTTATTTACAATTTGTGCCAACTGTTGCATCAAGACAGCATTCTGTTCCCCAGGTGTCATTGAAGCCCATCGCTCTGATCTGCTCAGGTCTCGCAAAACTTGAAGATGTGCTTCCTGTCTTGCTGCTATCTGTCGACCTAATAGTTGTGCTTGCCGGTACTGAGGTGTTCCAGGAATAAGTGCAGGATTCGTTTGCTGAGTGGTTAAAGGTGACTGCAAACCATTCGAATTGAGAACTGATGTTTCAACCTGGTAAAAAAGATTAACAGATATACACATTGCTCTAAAACAATTTCTATATAGATTTAGATATTACCTTTAATGGTGGCAGCCTGACAGATGGATTAAACGGCACTACACCGCCACAGACTTTAACCAGTTCCCCAAGGGTTGTGTATCGGTCGTCACAAGCTCTTCGTACAAGAAGTTCGTTCGTAAAATAACCAGCACGGTACCACTCCGACATTTCACTGGCCAGGAATGGTCCTTGCACCTCTCCCTAATAAAAAAATAAAAAAATACTGATTAATTTAAATGTAAATACAACAATATAGTACACACCAAATAATTGTAAACATCGCTTTTATAATAATTTGTGTAAGTCACTAGAATAATATTAAAACACATATGCATACGTATACAAAAAATAATCGTAACAATATTTGAAGTGTATTATATTAGAAACTACCGATGACAAAATTTCCATTTCATTTCACAACTCATTCAAGAATTCCTAAAATTCAATTAATCTTGATAATTAAAACACTCCGTAGTCCTAAAATATTTTAACATTATAATTGAGAAATTTGTAAACCCCAATATTAATATTATTATTATATTATCTTAATATTTTTAATATTGTTATTTTGTTATTTTTATTATTTGTCACTTATTGTTTTTTGAGTTTTATATTTATTATTCACAATTTTTTTTTATTAATTATATTATCATTATTAACTTCCCGTAGGGCAAGTCGCAAAAAAATCAAAAATGAAAATTTTTATATATCTTCACGTTTCAGAGGTTTCTGAATATTTTGGCATACCTTAGAAAAAATGGATGTATGTGTGTGTGTATGTGTGTTCGGATACAAATTTTCGTAGACGATTCCGGAAAAACGGATAAAGCGATTTGAATAATTCAAAAAACATTCGATTCGTATTGATAAGGAGACGTGCTGATTAGTTTTTGGCGAAGGCAGGTCTAGCCGTTCCGAAGATACGGGGCAAAAAGTGCCAAAAACGGTAACTCAGCTTTTAAGAGAACGGAGCGTCCGATTTGAATAATTCAAAAAGCATTTTACTTGTATTAACAAGATGAAGAACTGATCAAATTTTTATGAAGGCAGGTCTAGCGGTTTCGGAGATCTAGTAAAAAAAAGTAAAAAAAGCCATTTGGCGGTCAAAAATGATCATTAGACATATGCACATCAAATTATCAGGTATTTTATAGAGATTTTAACAATAAGTATACATTTTATTTACATTCCTATGGGTTCCGTACCAATGTTTATCCGTTAGACGGCAGCGCGGCGCTTACGCGCTTCGATATATCGTCTCTATGCAGTTAAAGCAGTACGATTGCTTTGAAAAAAAGTTCAGAATTTCCAAAATATTTCAAAATAAATTTTTCTTCAAAAAGTTTACAGTTCCTCAAAAACTAATTTTTGCGGTGTAATTTTTTTTCAAAAATGTTAATCTTTAAAAAAAAAAAATCCATTTTCATTAAAATCTTTCTATTCTAGTTTTAGCTCACATGCACACACATACTCTTTCCAATTCCGTCAGCAAATCGGATTTACTGGCAACACAAATCATTTATAACATTTAATAAATTTGTTGTAACACATTTTTAAACATAAAATTGACTTAATAAACGATTATACCCGTATTTTTGGATGTTTCGATGTAATAATCGGGAATTTATTCAATCCATTCGTCGTGTTCTCATTCTCATCACTAAATATTATACTCTCATTCATTTCTTTGAAATTCGCGTGAACTTTCGCACACGAGCAGAATAAACGATGGCACTTCTATAAACAACAATAACGATTTAAATCTTTAAAAACTAAGTATAATACATACATTAATAATCTTAATAATCTATGTACAAAATACTGAGGCTTTTCTCAGATATAATTTGCAGAAAAGTATAGATAATCAAGAAATTTATTAGTTTTATTTGCAAGTCTTAAAAACTATTTATTTATTCCAGTCATTGGAGCGTTTTGGGTCTGATTTTTTTTTACTGTGACCCCGATATGCATGAAATTTTGGAATTAGGTTCATTGTAAAGTGTAAATTGTTTCCAGTTTTGAACTTGAGGGCAAGGTTAGCCTATTTCCAAACTTTCATGCAAATCGGAGCACAGTAAAAAAAATTCAGAGGTTACACCCTTTTTTCCTCTCCATTTACTGCACTAATTATATTTATATTTATATATTTATATATTTATATATATATATATATATATATATATATATATATATATATATGGGTCATTCTTTTACAAACCGGGCACCAACCATACCTTGACATTTTAGAATTAGCTGAAATTTTTTTTTATAGATATTATAGATAAAATCATTTGACACGTATTTCAGGATTTTGTGTCACATTTTTTTTTACCAAAATCCGCCCGATTTGTAAAAGAATGACACACATATATATATATATATATATATATATATATATATATACATATATATATATATTTATAGTTTATAGGTTATAGAAATATGTATTCAAGATTTCCGTTTGGTAAAAGCAAATCAAATCGCTTTAATACTAATCTAATATATCACAAAATTCATACTGGCAAATCCTTTACAAATAAGTCATTTATCTTTTACATTTACCTGAGGATCCCTATAAAACCACTTATCGCTACCAACCACAGGCATAACCACAGGTTGCGTGGGAGGCAATAAAGGCATAACCCCGTGTAGATTTGGTGGAAGTGTCATGGGAGGCGCTACCATAGAAGACACAGGAAGACTCTGCTGTAAGATTTGTTGCTGAACTGTCGTCATGGCTGGAGGTGCTCTTTCATCATCCATCATAAGATGTGCAACTAGATCATCCGCAACTTCTTGCATCCTTGCAAACTCATCGTGTTGAGGTTGACTGAGGAAAGTGAATATAATGTAGTAAAGTAACTAGTGGTGTATGGCATCGTGCCTTAAGACAAACTGCTGGAACTTTCCGTACCAAAAATTAAATTAACTAGTGGGGTGTATGGCATCGTGCCTTAAGGCAAATTGCTGGAACTTCCCGTACCATAACGAAATGTTCGAGGAATACTGAATGTTTTCAAATAGATTATTATTAATATTGTAACATTGTCTAATATTTATAAAAATTATATAAACTGAATTGCAAAGTTGAAACTATTTGTTCAAAGTATATTAGAACTATAATAAGAATTAAAAATAAGATCTGAATTATTTTCGATATATAAAAAAATTTTTTTTTTGAAAAAAAAAAAAAGTTGAAACAATTTTTTTTCCAAAATCAATTATTTTGTTAAGACAAGCAGAAAGTTCTTTGAATCATTTAAATCGGACGCTTAGTTCTCTCAAAAACTGTCATTTTTTACACATTTAGCTCCGTATCTTCGAAACGGCTAGGCCTGCCTTTGAAAAAAACTAATAAACACTTCTCCCAATCATTACTAATTGAATGTTTTTTAGATCATTCAAATCGGATACTCCGTTCTCTCAAAAAGTCGATTTCCATTTTCTGCACTCTTTGCTCCGTATCTCCGAAACGGCTGGACCTGCCTTTGCCAAAAACTAATCAGCTCTTTTCCCTATCAATAGGAATCGAATGTTTTTTGAACCATTCAAATCGGTTGATCCGTGCGCCCGAAAAACGTGACTGGTAATTTGTATCCATACATACACACACACACATCCATTTTTTCTGAGGTATGCCAAAATGTTCAGAATCCTTCAAAACGTCGAGAAATGTAAAAATTTTCAATTTCGATTTTCGGCCCATTACAATAACTTACCCTACAGAAAGTTAAAAAAAAAAATTAAACTTTGAAAAAATTAGATTTTTGAGAAATTTTAAAATTAAAAAAAAAATTTTTTGAAAAAAATGTTTTTTTTTTTCCCTCCTAGAGTAAGTTATAGTAATCGCAAAAAATCGAAAATAATTTTTTTATATAGGTATCTTTACGTTTCAAAACCTTCTGAACATTTTGGCATATCTTATAAAAATGTATGTGTGTGTGTATCTTTACGTTTCTGAACATTAGGGCATATCTTAGAAAAATGGATGTGTGTGTGTGTGTGTGCGGATACAAATTTTCGTCGACGATTTCGGATTTCAAACTGCGATTTTCAAAATAAAAAAAAATCCAAGTTTTTTTTCCAAAAAAGTCATTTTTTAAAGAATTTAAAATTTCTCAAAAATCAAATTTTTTCAAAGATAAAAAAAATTAATCTTTTTTTAAAAAAAAAAACTTTTGGTACAGGAAGTTCCAGCAATTTGCCTTCAGGCACAGTGACATACACCACTAGTTTTATTTTGAAATATTTTAGAAATTTTGAACTTTTTTCAAAGCAATCACACTGCTTTAGCTGCCATAGATACGAATATAGAAGCGCGTAAGCGCCGCGTCGCCGTTTAATGGATAAACGACGTACGGAAACCCATAGAAATGTAAAGAAAATTCATAAGTATCATTGAAATCTCTATAAAATATCTGAAATTATAAAAATCGGACGCCAAATGTCCGTTAATCTATCAGAAAACTAGACCTGCATTCATATCATTTCTTTACACTTGTTTAATTATAAAAATCGGACGCTCCGTTATCTCAAAAACTAAAATATCATTTTTGGCCTTTTTGGCCCGTATCTCCGAAACGACTAGACTGCCTTTGCTAAACTAATCAGCACATCGCCTTACCAGTAGAAATCGAA